TTGACTTGTCTGTTTGGTTTATGGTCTAGTCATATCTTCTTTTTTAGAATTGCATACAGAAAAACCTGTTATACAGGCACAGTTAGACTATACATGTACATGCATGTTATTTTCATGGTGCTCAGATTAGTGAAAAATAAAATTTTATATGAAACATATGCTTAAACATAATTACCGTATAGGCCTATGATTTTTAAAAATAATTAATTATAACACGCGCCGGTCGCAAGTCGCGATCCCGTGTCTCCCGATCATTGTTAGTAGGAAAATTAAAACACTAATTATATTTTTTCTTTAATTCTTCTGGAAGCCCAATTTCTTTACATATGTTCGCAAAATCAGTATTGCCCACGTTTAATTACGATCTGTTTGTTTACATTAATTTTTAACATGGTAATAATGATAATCGTAAATTTTATTTGTGTGGTGAGTTCGATTATTTTTCTCCATTAAAATATATAACATCTAAATGAATACCATAAATATATCTGATTTTTTTTCTGGTTATTCCTTTTTTTCGTTTTGTCAAATTAATTCCTAAATATTAAAAAACTGAGAGTTGCAGGATAGGATAGGATAGGATTAGGCTGAAATCACAGGATAGGATTGTGGATGCAGGATTCACGATAGGACGCAGCATTGTTAAGGCTTGAATAAGGGGGCGGGGCCTCATTTATACGGGAAAAGTTTACTGTGACGTCACACAAAAATATGACTTTTATGTATTTCTCATAATACCTGAAAACACAGGGACTTGCTCCTGGCGTGTAAAAAATATCTATTAAAAAAACCAAACGATATACTATAACGTTTTTTTTATTTTTTTTCTTTTTTTTTTTTTTTTTAATAGATATTTTTTACACGCCAGTAGCAAGTCCCTGTGCCTGAAAATGATATAATTTGCAACTCTTAACAGTATTAGCATAATAAACAACATTATAACTTATCAATGCATTAAAAAAAGTTTGTAGTTAAATCCCATGTAGCTGGTTAAAAACTAAGCACTCATTGCGATGAACTTGTAAACATGACGTCATATTGGTAAAAATGACGTACTTCATGTGCTGTGAGAGGCAGATTGAGGAATTTTTTAGAAAAGAAAAATGCGTTTTATTATTAAACGGAATATTATTTACAGGTTTTAAATAGTCGATTAATACAAATGTATAACCTTTGTTTAGTGTGTTTATTAATTAACTACCAAGAAAATGTTTTTTATTAATTCTGTTGTGTTTTATGTACAGGTAACATATATTTTACAACGAGATGCCTCATAAAATCGTACTTTCGCAAGGGCAAACACTGCATAGATCTGAACCGTTTTTTGAATATAGATAAATGATATTTTCCTTAACTTGAAAAGTGCTGCTGCTTTCTTTAAATAGCGGCCGTGATTTTATAAGTACACAAAATATTTGGTAAAAGTCAAACATATTTCGACATTGGCTTATTTACATGAAAATTTAACTATTAAAACGCGATTTCTATTCAAAGCAGCAGCACTTTTCATAAACTGCAAACTATACAGAAACAATTAATAGCTTGAATTTTTAATTTCAATTAGGGTATGCCCTTGCGATATTGAAATTTGTTATTGATTTTAACTTTTCAATAACAAACCAATTTCTACTTTTTCCTAGCCACAGTGCTCAGGTGAGCAATGTGGCCCACGGACCTCTTTTTTTTTCTTCGAATTTTTACATTTGAAACAATTAATTAAAAGATATCATAGATACATTTTCATGATAATGGTAAATAATATCAACGTTTATAGATATATTCACATTCATATTTTAGATTAAGTTTGATTTTAAATTTTTAATTGAAAAGAACAAAATAAAATTGTTAATTTCAGTACTTAAGAGCAATTTTTAACACTGTTTATACTTAATTTATAATAAGAATTTTAAAAGGGTAAAAATATGGTGATATAATTTAAAATAATGTAAGTTTATTTTTGATTTAATAAAAACAAAAATCAGATAAAACAACCATTGAATAAAAGGACAGCATGCTACCCTAAGATGAAAGTTCATATTGTAAGCAATTGAACACTGTTGAATATTTTAGTACTCTAGCCTTGTCTTTATAAACGTCATGATCATTATACAAAAATTAATACTAATTAATTATTATAAATAAACAGATTGAATGTGTTTTATTTCTATCTGATCCTGTAAGATAAAAATAGTGACAATATACCAGTGGAAAGTTGAAAGTATCGTTTCATGAGTGAAAACAGAGAAAATTCAGGTTTAAAGACGATGGTGGTGTACTTCACATATTTACAGATTTATTGATTGGTTATTGTTTATTTCTTGTTGTCCCTGGGAATAATGCCTTGTATGTACGTTGAAGTATTTGGTCTTTACTTTGAAGTTCTCAAAACATTAATCTGCAAAAATGGAGGGGATGGGGTAAAATTAGTGTGTCCAAGCGGGCTAATGCAGAGTAAAGTTATTACGTCAGCTCCCAATTTAGAATGTCTCGGGCGTGTGGGCGGATGGAAATTTCGTACATTGTGAAGGGATCGAATTTTAATTCTAAAACAACAATAGAATGATCAGATCTGTACCCCGGGTTAACAGTAAATTCTTCAACAAAATTAGATAATCCTTCAGATATTAAAATATAGTTTTATAAGCCTTGCTTGACATGTTTTTTTTCATCCATGTGAACACTTTTTTTTCCTGGATTGAAATTCCTGAAATAGTATATCATTCGTAAATCTTCCATAATTTCTATCAATTTTTAACGAGCCAATGGATTATTTACATAAACATAGTTGTATATATCTATTTCTGGATTAAGGGCAAGATTTAAGTGACCGCATAGTACAAAATATTCATTGCAAATTCTAGAAAAATATCTCTAACCTTTTCATAAAATTCCGGACAGCCAGTATTCGGTCCATATACATTTACAAGGGTAACCTTGTTGTCTTCACTGGTTATATCAAGAGCTACTAATTTTCCTTCCTGATATCTTATTTGTGGACTTTAAATTCAAAATTTTTGTTAAATGAATTCGATTCAAATGAACTTAAATAGTACTTGTAACCCCACTGAGCTTCTACAAATGGTTGTTTCATAGGTAAAATGTGTATCTTACAGACACAAAATAGAGTAACCCTTTTTTAGCTCACCTGAGCCAAAGGCTCAAGTGAGCTTTTCTGATCAAAATTTGTCCGTTGTCTGTCGTTGTAGTCGTTGTCGTCGTCGTCGTAAACTTTTCACAATTTCAACTTCTTCTCAAGAACCACTGGGCCAATTTCAACCAAACTTGGCACAAAGCATCCTTGGGTGAAGGGGAATCAAGTTTGTTCAAATGAAGGGCCACGCCCTTTTCAAAGGGGAGATAATTATGAATTAGAGAAAAATTAATGGCATTTTTTAAAAATCTTCTTCTCAAGAACCACTGGGCCAGGAAAGGTGAAACTTATGTGGAATCATCTTCAGGTAGTGTAGATTCAAGTTTGTTCAAATCATAACCCCTGGGGCAAAGATGGGGCCAAAATGGCAGACCCGAGTTTTACATAGGAATATATAGGAAAAATCTTTAAAAATCTTCTTCTTAGGAACCACTGGGCCAGGAAAGGTGAAACTCATGTCGAATCATCCTCAGGTAGTGTAGATTCAAGTTTGTCTAAATCATGATCCCCGGGGCAAGGGTGGGGCCAAAATGGCCGACCCAAGTTTCACATAGGAATACATTGGAAACATCTTCAAAATTTTCTTCTCAAGAACCACTGGGCAAGGAAAGGTGAAACTCAAGTGGAATTATCCTCAGGTAGTGTAGATTCAAGTTTGTTCAAATCATGACCCCCGGGGCAAGGGTGGGGCCAAAATGGCCAACCCAAGTTTTACATAGGAATATATAGGAAAAATCTTGAAAAATCATCTTCTCCAGAACCACTGGGCCAGGAAAGATGAAACTCAAGTGGAGTCATCCTCAGGTAGTGTAGATTCAAATTTGTTCAAATGATGACCCCTGGGGCTAGGGTGGGGCCAAAATGGCCGACCCAAGTTTTACATAGGAATATATAGGAAAAATCTTTAAAAATCTTTTTCTCCAGAACCACTGGGCCAGGAAAGACGAAAATCATGTGGAATCGTCCTCAAGTAGTGTAGATTCAAGTTTGTTCAAATCATAACCCCCAGGGCAAGGTGCGGCCAAAATGGCCGAACCAAGTTTTACATAGGAATATATAGGAAAAATCTTTAAAAATCTTCTTCTCAAGAACCACTGGGCCAGGAAAGGTGAAACTCAAGTGGAATTATCCTCAGGTAGTGTAGATTCAAGTTTGTTCAAACTATGACCCCTGGGGCTAGGGTGGGGCCAAAATGGCCGACCCAAGTTTTACATAGGAATATATAGGAAAAATCTTTAAAAATCTTCTTCTCCAGAACCACGGGGCCAGGAAAGATGAAATTCATGTGGAATCATCCTCAGGTAGTGTAAATTCAAGTTTGTTCAAATCATGACCCCTGGGTCTAGGGTGGGGCCAAAATGACCCACCCAAGTTTTACATAGGAATATATATAGGGAAACATTATAAAATCTTCCTTTCAAGTACTTCAAAGCTATGATTAGTGTTATTTATATGGAATCATCCTCAGGTAGTGTAGATTCTCGTTTGTTCAAATGATGAACGCCTGGGGGGGTTAAATTCAAGCCCGATGTGCTCAGGTGAGCGCTGTGGCCCCTGGGCCCCTTGTTTAAATAATACTTAAGGACATCTTGTCGTTTCTGAGTTGTCGCTAGACTTTGGCAGTTCACCGTTACGATATTTATATTATCGTTCATCAACAAAAACAGATTTGTAAAATGTTAGCAACCTCCAAGCAAAATTTTCGACTACATGATTGTTGCATTCTCTCACTCTCACACACTTTCACACTAACTCAAAAATGTAAACAAAAGAAAAGGGTATGTACATGTACGAAACAAACTCTTTGCATAAATTGCAAATGCATTGTTGGAAGAGTTTGATAGATCAATAGTCGAAGTATTCATTTTTATTTTGTTTACCTCAAATTCTGTGCCGATGTAATACCCGCAGGCTTGGGGCGAATTACATTGAAAGTAATGCATTACCATTACCATTTAATCAACAATTTGTGCATTAAATTACCATTACCATTACTTTATTTTCTTAAAGTAATGCACTACCATTACCATTACTTTTGGGTTTTTTTTTTTTAAATAGAATGTTATACAATTTTTTTTCATAAGCATGTATCAACCCCCTTCAAAACTAAACATGATAAATGATAACTTAAATTTGATTTTCAGTGTTTGTATATATTACATTAACTTACAATCAAAGAAAGGTTCAAAGTTCTGAATTGTAAGTTTTATAACATATGTACAATATCCACTCTTTGTAAAACTATTGAAGTCATTATTGAAGTAATTTACCTTTTGAGTCACTTTAACACCAGCCTAAATTATTTGATAAAAAAGCATATAGGCTATTTTGATTACGGTAGTACCTTGTAAAAAAAGTAAATGCATTGACAACCTTTTCAAAGAAGTAGACAGGATGTACATTTTGATCTGCTAAGCACAGTGAAGCATAGAATGCCTGCATTGCTTCTATTTTTTTCAGTACAATGGATATTTCATGGTCAGTACAAGGTAAATCAATCAGTTCAATCAATGTTTTATGATCACAGTCACGAGAAAAGGACTGGTAATTTGGAGCACTTTTCCAAACAATGCATTGTTTTAATTGTTACATAATCGAGAGACCTAGTGTGTTTTGGTGACACTCTAGCTATTCAAAAGGTACCAATTATCAGTTTACAGTGTACATTAATTAGTGTATCTCATATGCGATTTTTTAAAAAAAAGATCTTTTATATAATTCTTTGAAATCATTTTTTATCTTAAATAAGTTTGAAAACTCAAATGTAAGGTAGGTGTACTTTCAACAGAATAAAAAGTGTTTTTAAATAGATACAGAAATGTTATCTAAATAGAATAACATTTTTATATAATAGCATCATTTGCAAAAATAATCCCCAATAATTCCCATCATCCATGTCCATTTAAATTTCTTAGAATAGGTACTCATCTTACAAAATAATGCTGTGTAATGCTATGTAATTCTATGTAAATTTTTGGGCATTACACATTACTAGCATTACTTTGAGTTCATGCAATGCATTACCATTACAATTAGCATTACCCCAAGCCTGAATACCGGACATACTTCTATGGTCGGTAATTGAAAAGTCAAAAACAAACATAAACTTCTTTTTTCCGGAATACACATTATCAACATAAACCTGTTTAGAACAGAACTATTCAATCCGGGAAAAAGAAAACAGCAAAACACTAGTTATAACACAAAATGTTCAAGAAAATAAAAATCGTGATGCGGGACACTCTTTTAGCCTATCGAAGTTCTTTGAGGGCGTCAAATAACGCTTTCTCCATTATATCAAAGCGTTTTGGACCAACATGTTTTCCCATCATGCGCGAAATCACAACGGATATATTTGTAAAGTTTTCATCTTGCAGGATTTTTAGCATTTTCCTTCCAAATCCCAATTTGCCGTCATTACAGTATCCGTCTTGTATATTCCCAGAATTGTCTTTCAAACGGTAAACCCGTATATTGCGATTTGCAAGCCCATAAACTGGATCCATGGAAATTTCCTACAGAATTTCCGAACTTTTGTATAGGTCTCTACCTCAACTGCAGCAGCGCTAATTTGGTTTCCTGATTCTGTTTGAGTGTTAGAGCGTTTAACGTCAATTTCCTCTAGTTTCTACTGTTCTTTCTGGTCAAGAATTTCCTCGGCGTTTGGTGTCTACTTTATCTCTTAAACAGACCCATTCGGGAAAACCAATTTGTCCCCCACAACTCTCGTTTTGATATTTTCGCTCCAATATTTGCTGTTGAGTTCAATCAATTTTCTGCTAGTTTCGTTAACTTGAACTGGGGACTTGGGAGTGATATAGAATGGTAGATTCATTCCTTCAGCTTTCTTTTTTCTCTGCTGTTTTAGAAAACGGTCTTTGTTCTCAAATCTCACTAACCAGCCTGTTATAACTCTGGGCTTATCTCCTTGCCTTCTGTCCGCCGTATTCCTATGGATATTAACGAACTCTATTCCTTATATATCTAGGTGTTCATTTAGCTGGCAAGGGACTTTTCTGAATAGATCTTCTCCTTCTTCTTCCTCCAGGTTATGTATAAGGATATTGTTTTTTTCATGGATCGCCCTTTCAAATCAATAATTTCCTTCTCTTGTTCTGTGACTTTTCTATCAAGTCTGATTACAACCGATTTTAACAATTCAAGGATGCTTTTTCAGATTTAAGATTGTCAATCTCCGTTAATTGTCTTCCTGCTGTTGTGAAATGCATTGTATCTTGTCTTCAAACCCGTCCTGTTCCCATAGATCAGCCTTAATACCCCCTATGGCTTTTCATAGACTTGCTTAATTTTTGAATGTGTCCGCTATTTGCACTGGACAAGGAGCAAACGGTACACTTAATGGGGTTAAAGTTCCAAAGCTAGTGGAGGGGATCGGCATTTTCTCAGTTCTCTTAGACTTAGACTCCGGCTTTCTTTTTTTGTGATTTCAACTCACGACTGGACATATTGTATACACAGTGGTGCACAGTAATTTACCAAAAGTTCCCAATAAGCAGTCACTTATACAAAAAAGCTCCAAAACCTCCATTCAAAGTTTTTGATAAAGTGTTGATCCTTTTTTCGACACTTTGACACTTATAACTCCGATTCTCATCTATTTTTCTCTTCCCACTTGCAAAGCATGACCGCCATGGTCAATTGTCACGTGATCTCCCCTTTTATTTCCTTGACAAATAACTGATGAATGCATGTATTCAGAAAAATGTTAAAGTGGAGGTAAACATTGATATGTAATTCTCGAAAACCAAGAATATTAGTAATTTTACAGTATTAATTTATCTGAAATACATCATTCTTTCGCAGTTGGTTGGACCACATCAATGACGTGAAAAGCTCCGCTGAAAAATAATACATTTAGGATGGCTTTCCTCATTCTCCCATAAATATGTTTTATTTGACTTAGTTTAATAAAGATAAAAGGTCGAAAAGAATTCCTCCAGAAATTAACTGAATTATCTTCCTTCCTTAAAACAAGATTAATAATGTATTTCCACTGTCCTGTATCTAATATTTTGTAATGTTCATACAAGATGGTTTTTGACACTTTCCATAACAAACTCCATCATAACGTTTACACCAGATAGGTTTTGACAGTTCCCCTGACAAACTCCCTACAGATGGGGCACTTCCTCATGGCTGGAGCACAGTCAGCACAGCATGCCAGGTGACCACACGGCAGGAAGGCGATGGACACGTTCTTCTCCATACAGATCTTACACACGATCTGGTCCTTAAGACTCGTGTTCTCACGCTGTAATGATTCCAGATCTAACAAAATAAGAAGATTCTTCTTGATGAAAAAGAAAAAGAATGCCATTTAAAAATACTTTGAAGATTTATAAGAGTGATTCGACCATCTATATGTGTTTACTTAGTAACACTGAGGTACGTCATAAGGGGGGGGGGTTAAATCATATACTGAATATTTTAAATTCTAAATTATTAAAAATGAGGAGAAATTGAATGTTTTAACTTGAAAATTATTGCATTTTTTTATTAAATTCCGAACGTTACGTAATGAATAAATAAATTTTCTCGTAAAGGTCACACCTTTTTCAGTTTGAGTCATTGTACTAAGATTGAAGCTGATAAATTGCATATTCTAATAAGCAAACCACAAGCTGTGTAGAAACAATAATTCAAATAATTAAAATTTTGTTGTGGCATTCCTTCTTTTTTTTATTCTTATTCTTTTATTCAGGTATCAATAAAATATGAACCTCCATTCTTTGAATCATTAATAAGAAAGCAAGATGATCTGCAGTGAAGAAATAAATTGATTAATACATGTAACTTCTAAAAATACGAATTACCATTCAGTGTTAAGTTGTTAACAGTGGATGTTGCACCTTCTGCTGTAAAGAAAATAGGGTCTGAAATTAAACATCCCTCGAAATTTACAAACATACCTAAATACACAATTAAACATTGATATAAGGTAACTCTAGTTTCTCTAGAGGAAAATATGAAGATTAGAAAAAAAACAGTAAAAAAAAAACTAGCAAGTACATTGTGAGTAGGAATAATTTTTAGAGTCCGGAAAATAGATATTTCAGCAATGAGAGCTGATTTTTGAGGGTTTTTTTTTTTCATGTAAAAATGTGCTGTTTAGATATATTTGTATATGTAGATAAATTAGACTACAATAAGGTATAAGACAGGAAATCAATATTGTACAGGATGACAATAATGTACTTTTGCTTCCATCAAAGCTTATATTTAGTTCAAATGAATATAAACAATTAAAATATTTAAACGCTCATTGTTTTTCCTTGTAATAATTAACTACAATTTTGCCGCTAAAATTTCCGACATAGTGTTAGGTTTACTGCTGATGTTTTAAATTCTAAACAGTGGAATCTGTGGGACAATTTTTTGTGGATTGGTTAAATCATTTATAAGCATGCCGGGAAGGTTTTTAGTGGACAAAAGTCATGTGTTTGAAAAAACATAGATAAAATAACAGTATTCTTAAATTCATAAGTTGGTTACATGTGTATTGCATAAATATGAACCATGAAAAACAATGAAATAATCTAAAGAAAAAAATAATGACTGCAGTCAAAAATTATAGAAAATCAAAAGAAGAACTTAAATGGATAGTTATGTTACCATTGGTATTAGGCGTGAGATTTGTTGACGACTGGTTCTCATAGCTCTGATTCGCTACAGTAGGTTCCAATTGCTGTAGAGCTGGTTCAGAAGGTTGTGTTACCCCTCTGCTGCTCCTATCCGCCAGCTCAAACAAAACTTCCAGAATTTCATGTGCAGAAACTTTATGTTTTCCTGTTAGAAAAATTATGCGATAAAGTTTGTCAAAACTGTAACGTTATGCATACTGTATATTTTAAAGGATTTTACAGATTCTTAATGGACCTCAAAAAGATATCTGACACTTGAGAGGATATTAATAATCAATTTGAAACGATTTTGATTTTATGTTATATTTTACTCTATTTTATTCTAATTTCCTTTTATACTGTATTTTCGCGAGTACTTAAGTAATTATTATCGCGAATGGGCTCTTCAACGTCAAATTGCGAGAATAATACATAGGTTTCAGCACCATAAAAAAAATAAAGACGGGTTGTTTTATGTCGCGTGTGGTGCGTCTCGCGATATTATACGAAAATTAATTCCACGCGTATATTTAGAAATCTACAGTATTGTACATGTTACATGTACATGAAAGTGTAAAGTAAAGGCTGAAATCTTTGATATTTTTTTACTCACTGACCCGGTGATATTGTCCAATTTTAAAAGAATTCCGTTCAGTTAAATACTAGTCGATAAGATGAGGTAGAAAAATTGCTGATTTATTTTCTCTTCTTAGAGACTCTGATTATACATTTTTATTCTTAATATATCTAATTTGGTCTTCTCATTTAGTGTGTGCCTTACATTTTCGTATTATTGGATACTTACTGATTCATATTACATTTAAGACATCGTATTGAAAACGTATTATACAAACATTAATATCGCATTCTTTGAAAAGAAGTATTGGACATAAGGAAACCAAATCCAAAACGTTTTAAATTCAACCACAAACGTTTTACCCCTTGGAAGACGACTTTTTATCGTGTCTATTGCCTCCTTGATTTTCTCTTCACTGTATCCCATGTCTTTAATACTACGTACAGCCGCAGAGTTCATTATCCTCGCTTCCTTTGCTTTTTTGTTTTCGGTTGTATCTTTCAAAAAACAAAAAAAATCTGAATATATTAAATGGATATAATATTTATAAAATGGTTATTATATGTTTTATTTTCTGGGCAAAGCGTATACTTATTTACAGGATCGTGATTGAATTCTTCAATGAATTAACACTGTAGTGATTTTTTTAACCAAATATATTAATAATATCTTAATAAATGTGAAAGCTTTAGCGAAATAGCAATGTTTCTTTTTTGCCTCTAATAATTTGATTTTTTTTCGTTACACAGCAACACGAGTTTTCTGCTTTAAATAGAATGACAGGTAAATAATAAAAAAAGGAAAACATCAATGAAAACAGCTACCTCTTTGCTGGTATTCCGTTTGCTGTTGTTCCTAAATTGACAAAAATAAAAAAAAAATATTAAGCTTAGTCAAACTTATTTACACTTTTTACACCTTTTTAAATTAATAACATCTTTTTCTTTGTGACAATGTTTAAAACAGAGAAAAATTAGACGAAATATTCGATATTTATGCGTTTACGAAGGTTGTCCCAGATAAAGTAAACTTTTTAATTATTTTATATTCTCTATGTCCAAAATTATTCATTTTTGGCATAACATGTATTTCGGCAACCGATATTTTGACATTTTTGGTTACTAAATTTTATATGCAACATCATAAACAACATTTAAAGGGAGATACATATCGGTATTCGGCGCACGGCAATTTTTGGACTTTCATCTCTAATGCTTAAGAGGATCTGCAACTATTTTGTAACCTTACATGGACTGTTGATTTAGAATTCTGTTTAATGCATTGTTACAACGCACTTTGAAAAAAATTTGGAACCAAGCTAACGCACTTTGAAAAAAATATTTTTTTTTTCAAAGTGCGTTAATATCGACCATATTAACGCACTTTGAAAAAATGTAAAGATTGATCAATATTCCTTCAAATAATCGGTATGATGAATAACAGATCCTGGTTTGATAACTTTTTTATGATATAGTCACTGTAGGACCTGAGATATTGGCGTTTTGAATATTTCAGGTTTTGATAAAATAAAAGGAAAAATTAAAGGGTCTTGAAAAAAAGAGTGACGATTGTTTAAGTTTATTAATTCGTTTCTTCTTTTTTTTTTATTTCTAGTCTTTGATAAGTAGATGTAAAGGTGTATAGGGGTCACTAACAGAGGACAACTTCAAGCAACTTAGCATTTATCATAATAAAAAGGGGCCATTTTGATTGTTCAAAACTATGAAAATTCTTTCTCTCTCATACGTTTTACTGTACTTAAAAATTTCTTGTTTTCAACTCATTTATTATTGAAAGTTTTCAACGTCATACCAGTTAGGTAAGTACATAATTATATGAATGCTTTGAGTATAGCATAGACATCGAGACTGGGCGAAGGTCCAGGGGAGGGGATTGGGGGGGATAAGCCCCCCCACTTATTTTGGAAAGATATATACATCGTATAAGCATTGAAAATGCAGCGTACCCTTTTCAGGTTTATTGCTCCCATCCCCCGTTTGTTATCGACACCTATGTATTACATGGATAAAGATTTGGACATAGGGATCTTATACCTGTCTTCTCCTCTTTTTAACGGGAGTAAAATCAATTCATTTTTGAGGTTAGGGTTAGGCTTAGTTTTTTGAAAGATAAATAAAAAAAAATCTTTCCATGACTAAAATATGATTTTTTTTTTCAAAGTGCGTTAAGTGTCTCCATGGTAAAATATATTGAAGTAGACTCTTAACGCACTTTGAAAAATTTTTTCAAAGTGCGTTGAGTTGGTCCCAAATTTAACGCACTTTGAAAAATTTTTTCAAAGTGCGTTGAGTTGGTCCCAATTTTAACGCACTTTGAAAATTTTTTTCAAAGTGCGTAATTTTTTCAAAGTGCGTTGCCACAATGCATGTATCCCTGCATATTTCATTTAACAAATATGATAACAGTTTTAAAATTTTTAATAGGCTATACGGATATAGAATATAACAAAAATTTTATCCTTAGAGACTTAAATAATATTCTGACATGATTAATAACAAAAATATTATGTTTTATATGTACAAACATTATTTATTAGATATTACCGAAAACGACGACGTCGAGCAATAATACGGCGCTCCATATTTATCATTAAATGTTATGTTGAGATTGTTAAGACTCCTGGTCATTTGGAAATATATGTAACAATCACAGGTTTCTACTTGGTAAAAAGGAGGTCCAAAGATGAATAAACTAAATATTCGATGAAAAAAGCTTGTCGGTGGGCAACAAAATGACAACAACTGATAAGGCTAAAACGGGCGTCATGTATAGAAAATCACTGTTAAGTATTCGTGCATTTAAGTTTATGTTGAATTTTAGAATTCGTATATCAAAATTATTCATTCCTTGCTTCTTAACTGTAGTAGCTGTGACATGGATAAGTTTATAAGTAAAAGAAAATCGAATGCAGTATTAAACGAATTTTTATCGACACAAGATTACTTTACAAATTCAAAATCCTCCCGACCTTCGGTTTTGATGTCATGGGTATTTCGCCGGTGGCTATTTTGAATAGTTTGTTCATTCAAAAGAAATATATTTTCATAGAGATACTTTACTGAAATTTCTGTTTTTTATTTTGAAATTGTTGATGTTAATGAACGCCGCATTTTAATTTTATAATAAAAGTGAAACGAAAGAGAATATTAATACAGCTCGCGTTTTTCTCGGACAACCCTAGTAGGACTGAACTCATATTAACCATATCTTAAAATTTAGGAGTTACAAGTGTATGCTTTTTTAAAGTACTTTGTGAAATTATAATATTTATTCGAATATAGAAAGCAACTTTCGTAATTTTTAGCTAACCATACTGATTTTTGCTGTATATATCTTTTATGATGTAAACATAAAATTACCAAAAATAGGTGCTAGTTATGAATACATTTATTCTATTTGCAAAAGCAGAAATAGTAGTTGCATGTACAAATGCATGATATATTCTTGTGAGCTTGACATGAAAGATACCACAGAGTCTGACACATCTGTTTCATACTTAAAAGACAAAATTGGTAATCTAACAACCAAGCTTAATGATAAACGTGATGACTCAAACTTTTCTATCGCCAAGTTTCCTAACTTATGTAGCAAAATACGTTCACACGGAGTTTATATATCTCCGTTGATTCGATACGCAAGAACATGCTCTACGTATAAACAATTTCTAAAACGAGGTGAATTATTTGCAAATAAGTTGATGAAACAAGAATATCAACCTCGTTAAAAGTAATCATTTCCCAAGTTCTATGATCAATACAATGACCTTGTCAGTAGATAGAATTATCATTGAGTGATCCGCAAATATAAACATTTAAAATTCAGTTTAAAGATTAAACCTCACTTCATTTATTTCCAATGGTATTACAATGTACTTAAATTCTTTTCTAATCGTTAAATTGCTTGTATGTGCATACCATTTCTGCTGCCCTTCTTAGAACCAGATCAATAAATTGCTGTCCTCTATTTTGTCTCACAAATGCACATTTACTAAACCATCGAGCATGCTCAACCTGAAAACACACATACATGTGTAATTCAATATTATATGAAAAATTGATAATTGGGTAAGGTATGAAATCAATTACACATTTACTTATCAATGCAAAATTTGACATGTATACAAAGTTCTTTTTTTCATTTTGCAAACATGAATAAACTTATTTATGACATGTATGTAAGATCATTTGCCTTTTTTCAAGGACGTGCATTTTAATTTTTGTACAATCTCTCAAGGAGGACGCAAGATTTCAGTGATTTGTTCAAAGCTTACCCAGGGGTCATCTCCGGCCTCCCAGTTCCTCAGTCCCCCTCCACAGAAAAAACAGCGTGTGTAGTCACCGTGTCCAGCGTAGAAGAACCCGGCCAGGGCCATGTCACGTGGAGTCTGCGTCATAGATGCTGGCCAATCAGAGAAGGAACTCACCCTCACAGCTAAAATGGCATAAGAAGGATATTTGGGACGGTCAAAGTTGATCCCCATGGGATCTCGCATTAAAGCCTCTAGCTGTGATTCTCTTGTTCCCTCGGATGTCGCTGCTTGAGCGACCAATGTTTGCGATGCAAGGTGTGTTTCTGATCTGTCTTCACTTGGTGCATTCGTAAATGGCAATGTATTTTGCGACGATAAAGTTTCTGATAAAACAGATGTGCCTTCAGAATTCATATGTTGATTGGCTGGTTCAGTATGATCCCGAGTCTTAGAGGCAAAAAAAATGGATTTATCAAATACATCCTCCATAGAAGGCATATTCTTTCACAAATTATTTTGATTACGTTTATTATTGAATTTTTTGTAAAAGTTATCGATAGATATCATGTTTATGAAAGCATTCATTAGTTTTTTTTTAATTTCTTTTATTTACAACAAAATCATTAAATGAGTAAAATTGTTCTAAATATAGGAATAGAAGCTTAAAAAGATTTACAGTGTTCTCGTTTAGCAAGGATTCACTGCTGAGATCTCGGTGAATTGTAGACTCTCTTGGTATTGACCTGTTGTTTGATATTCGGAGCATGAATCTAATCAAAATGGAGAATAGTAATAAAGAATACATCGTGTCTTAAAATGGACATAAGAAAGCATGACGAACCAAAGTTTGTTAGTCATAGAAGGCGAGAGAGGGGAGGTAGAGAAAGTAGAAGAAAGAAGGGGGGAGAAATGGAGGGAAAGAGAGGGGGATTAATTTACCTGCAATTTGGATCATGCAGCGTACTCCCACTGGGATCATCCTCTCGTACCCAGTTATCATGAATTTTGTGACAGCTAAAACACACTGTTTGATCACCATTGCCAGTGCTGTACCACCCGCCTCTAGCTAGTCTTGTAGCATGCACCGTTTCAGAAGAAAAATTGGAGAAAGATGCCAGTCGAATCCATTCATATTGGTATCGGTCATTTTCATTTAAGGACTGAATTGAAACATCGTTGAAAATCGACGAAAGTGTACCTAAGCTACTCTCATAATCAGACGACTGGTATGCAGTACACTGATTTTCAGCTAAAACGTTTTGAAGACCCTGGGCTTGTGAGCTTTCGGGCAGAGGCAAACTAACCTGTCTCTGATCTGTGGTGTTGGAGGAAGCCTCCTCTGCAAAAACTGGGTAACAAATAATAATTTCTTCGGTTTTAATATCTTGGAATCTTGATGTATATTGCCTTATAGTCTGTAAAAATCTTCTTCTTTGTCTAGTTCTGTATCTTTTCAAGAACTTTCGAACACCCTGTGCAATATATATACAGGGACTGGTTGTAATGTTTGGACACCATTGCGTTTCCTTATTCTTGGAAGAACTTGTTACAATATTAATTGCAGTTGGAAAAACACATGTTTCTTTAGCTTGGTTTCGAAATTGTTTATGACTGTTATGTTTGAAATCAATGCAACGGTGATGATAATCAACATTTTCAAATCTGCATGACGTTGGACGTGATCGTAAAGATGATAACACGACCGAATCATTTCTTTTGCTTTTCATTTTATTTGAATCAAACGTAGACATTGCGTTCAAGGAATTATCATCAATATCAGAATATATATGCACATTATCAAAGTCTTTACCGGTGTTTATAAATTCATTACAACTGAAAATACAGTCTCCGATTCTTTTTATTTCTATGCATTTTTTTCCAGACGATAATCCTTTACTGTTGATGGACTCATTAGGTTTCAATCTATCTGTTGGAGAAATATTCGGATCATTTAAATCATCAATATCTCCAGACAAAGAGCTATCCAAATATGTGGCAACAGGATCCTTTTCAATCGTCTTCAATGATGTTTCATTATCTTCTCCGTCTTCATTTAATAAACTTTGTTGATATTTAAGAAAGTTTTGATCACTGTCATGGTCGTCAGTACACTTAACGAATGTTAATTCAATATTTCTCTTTTGTGAGACATGATAATCATATTCATGAATACCGTAACTTTCACACATTTTTCTATTTTCCAACATCTCTTTAAGAGAATCAGTATCATACTTAAGAGTCTGCGCGTCATCGCAGTTATCAGTCTTTGACTTCCAATGTAAATCTTCATCATCACTATCTTCTGTCTCGGAAAAAGATAGTGATGAACAAGTTGTGGAAAATAAACTGCAATCGGCAAAATTGTATTTACTAGTACACATGCTTCTTTCGTTTTGGCAGGTTTCTTCGTATGAGCTTTCTTTAGAACCGTTAAGGTCAGGGACCCTTGTTTGTATTTGTGTGATTCCATTTGTCGGAGAGTTATATTTTATACATAAATGTAGCGATACTGATTTTATTTGAATCTTGAAGTTTAATTTATTTAACAGTTCTGAACCATTCCTCCTTCTGTTTAGTGTGTCCATAAAACAGGGAAAAAATTGAAATTTCCAGATAAAGCCAAGAATGCTGAAAAAGAGTATTAAATGTATTGACACTACTTTTCAAAATCATTGAGTTAATATCGTAAATAGTTTAATATTTTCTGGTTGTCCATGTAATAACCAATAATTCTTAAATTTGTCCTCCTTTCTCAATGAAAAAATAAACAATTAAATTGTCATTATATATTTTGTTTCATTAAAATCACAGAATAATAAAAAGTGGCATATTTCACATGCTTTTTTGCAAAGTACCCTTGTTTTTTCATTAATAACAAAGTGTTAAGGATTATATCTGCAGAAAAAAATTAGGCATTCAGAAAAAGAAGTTATTCTTCAAGGTGGCAGCTTAACGTCTGGCGTTTATCTTTTACTTTATTTTTAAGCCGCTACGAAGTGTAAAGTCCTCATTTAGTTTTCATTGACTTTTTGTTAAAAAAAAACTTAGCCACATAGGATATCAAATATGTTCACATGCATTTTATGGAGAGGTTAAGAATATAGTTAATGTTATTGCATTACGAACACATTCTATCCATTTTCATGTTTCTTTGCCCGTGTTTGTTTAGGGAACAATCAAGTTCTTGGTTGATTGGATGGTTGTATACTTATTAACTTCCCTCTCCAGAATATTTCAATGATATAGAGACGTCACCATTGCCGGTGAAGGGCTGCAAATTAAGGCCTATGCTCGGCACTTACGGCCTTTGAGCAGGGAGGGATCTTTTTCGTGCCACACTTTCTGTGACACGGGGCCTCTGTTTGGACGGTCTCATCCGAAGGACCGCCCCATTTAGTCGCCTCTTACGACAAGCAAGGGGGTACTGAGGACCTCTTGGTTGAAAGACACTAGATTTTGCTTTGCTACTAATACAGTTGCATAACGTTCTTTTTGTCCGTTTCTAAATTACTTTAAATTCTCTTCGTTTAAAAAAAAACAATCTATATAGAAATCGCCTTCATCAAATTTATACAGTCCTAACTGAAGATATATACTTAATAAATGATATAAAATTTTAATTTGTCTGTCTTTTAAGAAGTTTTTGGTAAAAATGGTCTTGCGCAGTACGCATATCAAAAGATAAATTTGAAATTATGTCCATACTTACAATGCCTCAACTACAATTTCCGTTACAAAAAATACATGGATCGTATGATCAAGGTATCCAACAGCTCCTAGAAAATACAAAGTATTGAGAATATTGATAAAAAAAAAGGATTCTAAAATTTACCTTTTAAGTAGATGTGGATTACATGTATCAACGTTGTAGATAATAACACATAAACATGTTTTTAATTTAGTTTAGACACACATGTTTAATTTACTAGAAAATGACTTTAATGTTGATCTTATTAGAAAGCTTTGTGATAAATGTAATGACCTAAACTTTTTTGAAATTTACTTACATATTTACAGAAACAATATAAATAATTTTAACAAAAATGAAGCCTCAAAAGAAAAAAAAAACGATTTAATGATATTGTGATTATTGTAAAAGCCGTTTGGAAACTCACTTATATTATCAAGTTCTTTCAGTGTCCCTGTTACATCTAGCGGAGAAAATTTTGTTGATTGGGAACAAGATTGGAAATTGTGATTTTCCTTGTCATAGTCCGACATAAACTTGAATGTTTGAAATTTCAGGAAAAGAAAGCCGATAAGAATATTACAAAAAATCCAGGAAAAGCAGCATTTCAAAGAATCCCACAATTCTTCTTTTAAAATGGATGAACTACGAGTGCTTGCATTATACGATGATAAAATCGCTTTCTGTATTAAAGAAATTCCACTATAATTTAAATTTCGAAAAATCGTAAAACAACACGTATTATCACCAGTGTTCATGCATTTGACCAATTTTCTTGTACTATTTTTACAGACCGTTTTATTACGGCCGTAAGATTCTCCGATGATCCTTGTTGAAAAAATAGCAAACATTAAAACATGATGATCCTTATTCAGCTTCCATGGCGAATTTTCCAATTTCACACTCATATAAGATACATTTCTTGATATTGAATTGTTTAATGATGCTGATAAGTCCGTAATATTAGAATCTGAATTCGGATGTTCCGTATAAAACATATTACATCTGTATGTCACCGAATTGTTGGAAACATCAATTTTCCACTTAGGCATGTCAATGCGACTGTTATTCTCGAACACTGTAAAAAAAACCAGAATAAGTGTTAAAATAAATGCCTACATGTTAAAGATGACTCGAAAATTATTAGTGCATAGGGTTGAGGTTTACTAAAATGACAAAAGTATTCCAGTGAAGGAATGAAAAATAGCTTTGGAAATTTTCAGAATTATGATAGTAATGATATTACTCCTTTTTTAAATATCAAGCTTACATTTTGAACATTCTGTTATAAATAAATTAAAGACTTTTTTAAAAAGTACTAGTTATAATAAACTCATTGACAAATGAAACATGATAATCGAATATTGTGGTTCAATAAAAACAAGAGACCAACAGGTCTTATAGGTATCCTGAGTATCATGCAACAAATTTTAATTCCAATAAATTAATTTGGTTCCCGTTTTAAACCAGGGGCCACGAAATTCACAATTTTGAAATAGCACCATTGCTAATTATAATAATTCACTAAGCATGATTACTTTGATTACAAAATACCCAGTGACAGGGCAGAGGAAAAAAAGAAAATGTGCATTTCCACTATATAATCAGAAGTGATCCGCCCAACAGGTACCCCTGACACGGTGTCACATATGTCAAAATTTTGGAAAAGACACCCTTGCTTATCATCAATATTTGATCAATATCAACAAAAAGCAGATCTCAAAGCATTAATTAATTTTCAGTAAATAATCATTAGAGCCCACCTATCACATGCACATCTGCCAAAGGGCCTTGAAATTCACAACTCTGGAAAAGCAAGCGTAAGTTTCTTCTTCATTTCCAGTAACAAAGAGGATTTGCAAAGAGGCACCTTTCTTCATCATACCTATGTAAGTAGTTCATTGCTTTTTTACCAAGGAGCATAGGAGATTTTCAAAGAATTAATGCATTTTCACTATATAAACAAGGAAGCCCTGCCACTCCTGACCAAGGGGCCCTTAAGTTCAAAATTATAGAAGAGGCAACCTTCCATATTATAACTATGTACATAGTTCATCGGCTTTATTTCTATAAGTAGAGGAGAAGATTTTCAAAGAACAAATGTATTTTCAGTACACAATCACTGGAGCCCCGAACACCAGAACCAAGGGGCCATAGAATTCACAATTTTGTTAGAGGCAACCTTCCTCAGCATAACTACGTATTTAATTTGTTTTCATAATACCCATGAGCAGAGAAGATTTTCCGAAAAAAAAATATTGCATTTTCACTGTATGATCATTAGAGCCAAACTGTAACACCAGAGCCCCTGATCCTGTTGAAATGAATTCCACTATTTTGGAAGAAGACTCAACACTGCAGTTTGGCTGCTTGATGTCCAGGAGTAAAGAAAACATGATTCTATTTATAAAGATTGCATTTAGTTAGTAGTTTTTGCCCCACAACCCATGATCCAGGGGTGGGGGCATGAAATTCACAATTTTTACTCCCATTCACCCATAGGTGCTACATGCAAAATTTGGTTTTAATTGGTTCAGTGGTTTCAGAGAAGAAGCTGAAAATGTTTCAATGTAAACACACGACGGAAGAAAATAAATAGCAATATGTTACCTGTGTAAACTCAGGTGACCTAAAACATTAAAAATATAAATAATGTATTTTTAATCTATTAAATTTTACCCATTTAAATATGATAATAAAAGTCAATACTCTTAATCTTGATAGCCTAGCCAAGTTTACATCCGTTGGCCTTAATTTGCTGGTGATAAAATTGTATGAGGTCATTGTTCAAATTCTTTAATAATTTTGCTTATAATTTTGGAAGCCTTATGTTTATTGCATGCAGTTCAATTATTTGCAATAAGTATAAAAACAAATTATTCATTTCAGAATGACGTTTGCTTAAATATAAATTTCAAGATCTTATCTCAAACATTTATTTCAGTATAAAATATAAGCTTATACACAATATATTTGTTAAATGATTTCAAAACACGTAGAATGTTGTCTTCCAAAATAATTATGGAAGGAAACAGAACTTGATAAATAATACCTAAAAATCGTAATTTTGTCTATTTTTTTCTCCTTGTCACATTAATTTTACCTTTGTTCTTGTATATATATTTCTTCAAAAAGTAAAACAATAAAAATATGATAATGATTTTAGACATATTTCTTTACTTTTTTTATTTATGGAACATATTCATTTAAAGTATCTAACAAAGAATTGTCGACTAAAATCATGAGTAAATTTCACCTTTTTATGCATAATTTGTATTAAAAAATCTTGCCTGATTTCCATAAAAGGTTTGAAATCCTCCATTCAGAAATTGGATGTTCACTGTATGTTTTAAAGGAAGAATAAGAATACAACTTCAGACGAAATGCAGTAATTATTAAATTCATATTATTTGAAAAATTAAGTCCTAATAACGATTTAAAGATTACAATATCTGCTTAAATGTTAAGGGCAACAATGACAAAATTTGTGACGTTTGAATACCATTACAAAAAATCGATTTTAACTTACAAGTTATGCTTTTTTTCTAGCCTAGGTTTGTATAATTGATACTTTTTCCTGGTGCGATGTCCAAGTGTTGTAAACAGTCTCTTCAAGTGTTTTCTTCTGTATTTTGACGTATCATTTAATTTTCGGTTACTTAAATGAGCACAATTAAAATAATCAAAAAAGCAGTGTTTTTGTGTTCTGAATATTACTTTCTTTGCAACAAGTTTTAAAAGATTGAGTTTGCATGACTGACGCCAGTCTTTATTTTTTTCTTTGAAAGCAAAATAATTGCCCAGTTTTTTACTTTCAATACGGGTGTGCAGAAGAGGTATTAACTTTTCAAAGAAATTCATGCCAGTTCCAAACATATTTACGTCACTTAATCCAGTTGTCCAGATATCAACAGAATTATTCCAATGTTTTGAATTATGGTATTCCGAATGGAAATGCCAAAGGTAATTTTCATATGTATTTTGTATTATCAGCGAAATTCTAAGTTTTTTTGTTTGATTGACTGATATTGTTCCAGGGAAAACAAGTTCCTCATGTGATGAATTAATATTGATGTCAAAAACTGAATAAATTATGGATCCCTTACCATCTAAAATGTACAAACATATACTAGTTCAACACAAACCAATTCATTGGAAACAAATTGTAATATCAAATCTGCATCAAACACGTAAGCTTGGCATTTTTTCTGGTATAGTGAAAATACTTACCCGTGCTATTATTTAGAAAATATATTTGCGACTCCAATACTGTAACAACAGTGCTCCTTGAGGAATTCATCGATGTTTTGTTAAGAAATTGAAGTCTTTGATTTCTAATCGCACAATCCGATATAAATAAGTAAGCATAGGAAATATTACACACACTGCACACACACAAACAATCTATAAATACTTCTTTTAAAATGGAAGGTTTTTGTAGGATATTTGAGGAAAATGTGATGTTCTTTGAAGAATGAAGAGTAAAAATGTCCTTATGAATACAATCTTTTACGTCTATTTTGCAAAAGCTGATGTTGGCTGGAAATGTTAGTCTAGATCGATAAAAGAACTTATTTTTAGAAACAAAATATCCAATGATTGTTGTAGAATTGACGTTTATAAACTGGACAAGAGGACACGTGTAAATATATGATCCGTTCCTTTTTATTCCCGACATTCTACAAGAATACACAGCTGTAAAATATTTCTCTAGGAACAATTTGTGTGTCAAAAATGCCACAGCAGTCCCGTTTACACAGACGTTCAAAGTCAGGAAAGGTTGTATTTTATATCCACAAGCATATTCAAACTCGGAAAATGTTTTTAGACAGCAGTAAGCATCATAAGATAGAGAATCGTAAATATGAAAGTTGATCTCGCTGAAAGATTCTGTTGTGTTTTTATACAAATCAATCCGTTGATTTTCCAAAAATGAGTTATAAGGTAATCTTCCACTGTACGTTAAGAATCTCATAAAAATCTCAGTATAATGATTTTCAAGTACCATGATTATTTTCACTTCCCATGAAATATTTTCAAAAGTTATTCCAGTTTTATTAAAACCATGAAGGGAATCACTTGAATTCATCCTTTTTGCAGAATCATCGTACCTCAAATTAGAATGAGAACTTTCAATTGTAAATGCAGTATGAACCACCACTACCACCATGTCGTTGAAATTGTTATTAGGTGACAATGTTCGCCAGACAAAATCCGCACAAACCATTGAATGGATGCAGTTTGGTTGAGGTTTGTTTTCATATGATTGAAAAACTGATGGTTCTGACAGACACCGGATTGCATCGTCGACAAATCTCCTTGCTTCCATCAGTTTTAAGGTACAGCAGTTATATCCAATTAGAGTGTTGTTTCTCCTTCAAAATAAACGAAGAAGGGGAAAAGTAAATATTTTATTTTTCAAAGTAAATAATATAATTAATGTCATGTATGAATGATTAGATTAGAAATAAAAAGGCTTACTCTTCAAGTCATATAAGATGTATTATATTATATTATTTGAAGGTTGTTTCAAGAGTATAAGTATATAATCATTGCTCACGTGTCGTTTTGGGCACCATAAAACTCTAAAAATAATTCCTTTACATAACCCTCGGTGAATTCTCTTGCAAACATTTTCAGAATATCCACGGCTTCTTTGAAATTGTAGAAGGATTCAGCCAACAGGTGATGCCAAACATCACGCTCTCTTGTCTTAGTTTTACAATTTTCCTCAGCTTTGCCTGGGCTACTTTTCCCAGACGAGAACATTTCATTTAATGCCATTTCGTCATCAGTAATAAAAATATGTACTGAAAAAATAGACATTAGTAAAATGCAGTAAAATGTGTGTCCACTCTCCTTTAACGATCTTTAATTTTCTAATTTTTTTTATTGAGTAAGCTTACCATATATTGTGTAAAAATGACGAATCTGTTTAATCATATATAGCGAATTCGCAATATGCATGTTTTCCTTCAAGTGTTTCTACCATATATGTTAGGGAAGCAAATATTTGAAAACATACCTTCGATAACTAAGGGTTTTTTTATAAATTGAATTTTATATTCAAATGCTAAAAGAAAATAAAGTCGGTTCATTTTATCAAATTTTGAGATCTTTGAAAGTTCGTTATAAAAGATGTAAATTACATAATATTCAACCTCAATGGGGATCAAAACCAGTTCAATCCATACACAATATAATACATAATACAAAACATAATATGTTTTCCTTACTTGTATCAAAGATCCTTTCAAATAAACCATTCCACGCACCACTGACAATCTAAGAGAGACAAAAATGGCATATATTTCATAACATTTGAGTGTTTTCCATTGTGGTCATTTAGGCAAGAGTTATTCCCCATGATCGCCATATTGTAGGTCAACAATTCCAGATCCCTTCATTATTCAACCAAGTTCATTTTGTTATACAGTTTACTGAGGTAAAGATAATACCATTTTTCTTAGTGAATTTACGTCTGTTAAAGCCTCTATTAATTCTAAGTTTAAATATTATAAATATTTTCCATTTGTATATTGTTTAATGGACGTTGAGATTGAATACTGTTCGTTATTTCCATATCCTTCCCCATATATTTCTTGCATGCATGTTTAAATTTAGTTGCTCAAAGAGGAAAATTTAATACTTTGCCAGACAAGATGGCGGCTAAATAAGAGTAATTAACTTTAGGCAAAAATGCGTCCTAGAGAAATGGTCTATATAAAATTAGATTTTCTTTTCTTAGACTATCTATTTACTAAACCCTTTAAATAATGAAACTAAATCAAAGATATGATTTTTATAAAAAAAATTTCAAAGAAAATCGTTAATACAAACCTCAGAATGTATTGCTACGCACAGTAATACAACGAATAACAATCCCATAGTTATCCGCAAAGTGATGCTGAAAAGTAAAAAAATTAATGTTTATCATGTGATCGTTATACGAGGGTCTTTCAAAGATTACGCGGACTGTGCTATTATTCACGCTTACAGACGTCATATAGTTATGAAATTTCACAGAAATATGTATCTTAGATATTCCAATAAATTTTGGCCCAAATTTCTGTATTTTAAAGAAATTCTACTATAATTATCGGTATATTGATATCGCTGAATGAGAGGTACGGAGCACGACAAAATATTGAAGCAAAAGCATGCAGAATCCAAAATTTAACTCATTAAATTTCGACAATTTTCTCAAATGTATCTTAATATTGTTCTATTATTATATATTTAGATTTCTGACTTGATATTTGAAGTACTAACAGAAATATAGTGATTTTTCTCTGATGCGATTCCCGTGAAAACGACTGTGAAAAAAAGACGTCTCCTGATTTGACGGCGCATTACACTTTTGTTAAATTATGTGTAATGCTCGAGATATGGCCAACATAGATCCAAAATATGCATTATATAACATGTAGTAAACTAGGGTATTTTTGACATCCGTCCACAAATAGCAAATTGAAATTTGAGACCGTTAGACCTCTGTAAAAAGGCTATACGGGAGGACGGAAAGAAGATTATCGACGAAAACTTGATCCGGACTGTAAAGAACGTGATTGAGAGTCACCAATGCCACACTATATCTCAAAAATACCTGCAGTTTTTGGTTTTAAACCAAAAAAAGAATATTATTTACTTGTTCAATAGATTTTAAGCTTGACAAGAAATGATGTTTGGATGTTCTGTACAGGTACTCTTGGGAAAATGTTGAGAAAATGAAAGCTCATGCAGTCACATATTTTTTATAATGCCCGTGACGTCGAAGATTTTGCTGCTCCCTGACTTAATGATATGTCCTGAAAAATCACTTAAAATTGATACTAATTTACAGCACTTTGATATGAAAATTTAAAGACCATATAAGTAAAGATTCTTTATTATAATGTGTGACATTTTGCTCGATTATGTCCGCGTAATTTTTGAACAGCCCTCGTATGTTGATCATGAACATTTATACCGTGTATACAAGTTTGGCAAACATAATTAAAGAAAGCCAAAATGAAAAATCAAAAGGGGGCGAACCTACGTGCGCCTTGGTTACACTTTAATTTTCTTTTCAAATACGAAGGTAATAAATGCTATCTTTTTTTCATCTGTGCATTTCAATTTAGAGCCAGGAATCTATACTGATAAATAAATAAATTTTGCAAAGAAACCCCGAAACGGCTGCAGTAGAGTTCTTTTCTAGAAATACGCTAGGTACATGTATTAGGTGATGTCCGTAAACCATATTCATATTTCACTTGCGTAGTAATTATGCTAGGTTTAATTAAGAGTCTACTTTCATTCTCGACTGGTAGAATATTATATTTCTCTAAAGGACATATCAGTGCACTTTAAAAAAAATCCTCAAAACAAGTATCTTTAACATTTTACAACAGTTTCGTAAATCGTTGACAAAAGAGCAGTATTAAAATGTTCATGCTTTAAAAGGAATCAGTGTCACAGAAATAAACCTGATATAGCCTATTGTTCGTATTCTGAGGTTGATTTAGAACGATAAAATGATTGGCACGAATCTGGTATCAAGTGAAACGCGTACGTAAGTGTAAAATTTCGTCACGGGAATTATATATTCGATTTGGAAAATCATTATAGACAATTGATTAACTTTGTTTCTATTTATTATTAATTTGATAAATTTTTAATGGAGACAAAATAAATTTTGATATGTTTCAGAGAATATGCAAGGACATCAGATAGTGTGCCACATCTTTTTTAAAATGGGATATTTTTACTAAATATTAGGACGATTAGAGCCAACAAAATGTGACAACCAAACTGCATGACCAACGAGATGAAAACAGCTTTAATTTTTTCTATTGTCAAATCTTTGAACAGGGACAATTGGAGATCCGGAGTTAGGATCAAATTCTAAGGGGAGAAAGTGTCCCTTGTCGACAGGACCAACCCGCCATGATGCGCATGTATTGACCTGATGAAAGAAAGAATTTTTGATCCAATTTAGTGTTTTGACAAAGTAAAATTGGTTTCAATTTGTTTGAGGTTTTTTTTTTAAGATTAGGAGTTAGAGTTAGGGCAAGGTTCATCTTCAAATATTCCATTATACCTAAAATATTATGGACAAAATAATTCGGAACAGAAATCAATAACACAAGGTTAAAAGATTTTATCATCGTCTGAGAAACCTCAAGTGACCTATTACTATCTGTCTTCGTCTGTCGTCTTACGGCAAGCGTCATGTGTTAACATTTGAACATTTTAGCTGCTTCTCTGCAACAGCTCAACCAATTGCTACAAATTTTGGCTTAAAGCATGTAAAATTAATGCAATCTTTTAAAAATTCTTCTTTACTCCTTGACGTCAAGCAAAACATCCATGGCCCCAGGGTCAGGGGTTCTGGAGTTAGGGTGGGGCTCCAATGATTTTATAATGAAAAAGTATTATTCTTTGAAAATCTTTTTTTGCTCTTGGAAAAAAAGCAAACTAGCTAATTATGATGAGCAAGGATGCCTCTTTCCAAATTGTAAAATTTCATGGCCCTTGATCAGGGGTTCCAGTGTTAAGGCGGTTCTTTATTGTTTATATAGTGAAAATGCATTAATTATTGACTGGATGGATCCCCCTAGGTAAAATAATCCTTGATCCGCGTCTGTATACCGGTATTTTGAATATGCATGTATATTTACTTTTTGCAAATGCATATACAGAGAACGGAAATTGTATGCTGTTGCTATTTTATGAACATTTCGTTACTGTAAGACTTATTCATACAAATTCTGACAATAACTATATCTTCATAGCTAGCTGAAAGAAAACATTTTTACTTAACACAAATAGACATACACTACAAAAAGTACAGTGTTTTAGAGGCACTAAAATACCAGAACATTTAATAATGAAAAGATAAGAAGTGAATGACGTGTTCACAAATATATTTAATCATTTATATATAACATTAGATTATCCAAACCCATCGTTTTTAGAAAAGTAACATTTATAAAAATGTACATGTAAGAGCACCATGAAGACATGAAAAGTCACATGAAATCAATACTTACAGTTATTTGTCTTTTTATACCACATAATATGCCTGACGAAGGCGGTAACAAAAAATCTATAAATAGATTTAAACATTCCTTCGTGTATTATTCATGTTTAAAACAGGAAACTTTTCTTATCATTTCGTTGCTTGGAACATGTTTATGTGTAATTCCTTATTGGGAAGAGATCCTCTCGTTGCTCCAGTATAAAGTAAAAGCTTGAACTAAGTGCTTTCTTGCATGTGTTATATTTTTAGCCTACTTAATAGTAGATGCGCGCAAAAAATCAAGTCGACAACATGTAATATTTATCTTTACTTCATTTATACAAAGAAACCCGAGGAGTTAAACTTAAGATATATAATAACGATAGGATATTTTCTTTTGTTTAAATGAAGCTGTTTGGATGATAGCTCAAAGGATTTTTAAAAGGCTAAAGTATTTTTTAATCAACTTTAAAACGTACAAAGAAAAAAAAAAACGTTCAGCTATTTACATTTTCATTATGTATATTGTGATAAAGGTTTGTAGGTCACTGCATTGGCAATTCGACTTTGTCAGAGGTATTGTACAATTGTATGAAATAAAAATCAATGCAGCTGCCAGTTCATGACTAGGATTTAAAAATATTTATTTCGGAAATCCCCGTGTTCTAGATAGAGAGATGAGTGCTTTAAGATAGCACGAATATTGTATTTACTTACAATGCTCTGTGAAGCATGAAAAGTTTTAGGAGTTAGACAAATTTATTATTTATATAACGAAGTACATGTAAAACTTCTTTTTTTTTTCTAAATAGATAAACACATTATCTCTGATCGCATGTATTTTATGTAAATTGCTTTTTTTTAAAAAAAAATTTATATATCATGAATATTAACTGAAGAACTTATTAAAAATCAAAGCGTTTTATAAATCTATTTTAACGCCTTTGTTATTATAGGTAGGATTAAAACTAGACCCTTTAGTTACGAAATTCAAAAGACAACATGAATTATTCTATATATTCAAAGTTTAACTAAGATCTCTCAACTTTATCTATTCTCAATCTCAATTTGACCTGAGATAAATCGCAATATTAAAAGGCACGTCTCGTTCTATAAATAAATAAAAGAAAACCCAGTTTCTTTATTTAGAACTTATTTATAGTCACTCGTTACTGTGAATGTTTTATACGGGGATTACGGTCACGGTTAGGTTAGAACCATGTTTAATGATAACTTAATTGCAATCTTTATAAAGAGTGACAGGGATTCTCCTGATTTTATCACGGTCTAACTGCAGACGCATAATAATTATTTATCAGAATTAATAATATATATGTAACATCATGTATCTGGTGCATGCTATTTATAGAAATGCAAAAATAAAGGCAAGTTGTATCATCCTTTTATTACATAGAAATGAAAGCTTATACACGCAAGTTAATGACACAATCTGAAAATCTGACTTGGAATTTTTATAAATTATAACTAGAGTGTTCCAAGAAACGCACATGTCGCCTGCTAAATTTTAGCTTCATTAGATGTAACTTAATACAATAGTGGTCAGCTATATACTTCTTGCATATGCATATGCAATAAAAAAAAATCGTCACGAATTGTAAGACTAAAGCTAAAATGGATATTTGTTCAATTTCCAGTTTAGCTTGGACTTTCAGTAAGGCGTGGCATTCTCAACGTTACAAAAATAGCTTCTGAAATTTACACATCTTACCTTCACTGTTGAAATACATCTTACCTTCACTGTTGAAATATACATGGGATAGAAATTCGGGCAAAAGCCAATTAGTGTATCGAATAAACAACAACATTGTATCGTCCGATGGCAGATTTTCATTGTTATCCGTTAGATTTACTGTAAAAAAAACTATAGATATCGTATTCTGAGGTTGCACCACGTGGTGAATCCATTGCTTACAAAAAAAAAGACAATTAATTCAAAGTGTACAAACTCTGCTGTTTACCTTACATGTAACGGTTTTGATTTATGGCGCTGGTCCACGAACTTCTTTATCACACCTTGCATATATAAATATTGAAGAAAAATTAAGTAAATCCGGTAAAATCCCTCCTCCGGATCCTCGATAGATTTGAATTTATCAATATCCATTAATATTTATCATTAGAAAGAAACATCGTATGACACGTTAAGCTCATGAAATGATATATGTTTCTACGCGGTATGATTTTTAGTCCAAAATAATGCATTGCTTAATTTACTAGTGGTACATTTGAAGTTAATGTTACTGATAAAAAAGAAAGCTTGAAAGAAGTGTCAAGAGGATGTTTTCCTTAAAAAAAAGATCAGTTTTAAGAGTATATTGAATTTAACAATTGAAAAACAAGTGCAAGAAAGTAAAAATTAATTTTACTAAGTGGTAAAGTTTTGAATTTAAAAAAAAGTTCTGATGACTAATGTTTAATGACTATAATTCTTGCATTATTTCTCCAGAACATTATCTGAGAAAATATTTTATAAATAATTTCATGAAAGTTCTCGTCTGCGTTTATTTTCTTATCTATCAGTCAAGATCAAGTTTTATTAATTCAATGGGCGGTGCTACCTCTGAGATTTCCATTTAACAATGGAACTATAAAAGCTAGCAGAAGAAATTGATTCTGAGTAGTATGCCCGGAATTCTGGCTTGCATTTATGCGAAGGTAATTTATGAACAGTGTGCGCATAGAAACATATAATAATTCAATTTCTTTATTTTCTGTGATTGATACTGGTTTACATATTTATTTTTTATACAGAAAATTAAACGTCAGTTATTTTTTTTTTTTTCACCAGAATTAGGTTTGAATAGATCTTATCAATAAATGACCAAATTCCATACTATCGAAAAACTACAAAGGAAATTTCTTATGTATTGTGGCTTTTAAAAAATTCTTTGTTAATTTAACCATGTATTATTTTTAAGTCATGATAATTTTTACTGGCATATCAATTTAATTTTCTTTATTTTCTCTAGCTCTATGACACTCAGTTTTAAGTGTTTTATTTGTAAATGTATGAGTGAACATCAGTGAATCACCAGAATGGAACCCTCAGATTATGTTCAAAATAAATTAATCCTGAAAGAAATTTATTCATTTTTTTTTCGCATAACATAGATTGAAATTAGGATCATTGTTGATTAGCATGTTCAATGAAGTGTAACGCCGATACAAATACTTAGATAATGACGCATATTGAAGCGCAGTCTAAATATATATGCAGTTATCTTTGTGAAATTTTGTATTTTTAATTACGGCTGTACTTTCCGGAATAATCCGGGTTGCGCATACGGTTTTTTTAGTAGGATTATCACTGGGTGGACGAAACGTCATTCTCTCTTTCTAATCCAGCAGCCGAAGGAATTGGTAGGTTCAAATTGATGTAGTAAAAATTTGAAGTATTGGGTCTTAAACCGAAAAAAAATTTGTATATTCATGGCGCATTTGCGCATCGATAATGTTAACTCATAAATAGTTTAATACTTCAGGCGTCGGATATTACATATTTTATTTCAAGTATCATATATACAATCTCTCAAGGCTTAGCGCCATTTTGATTTCTTAGCATTAAAGCACGTGGTGCAAGAAATTTTAATGTTACGATTAAGTCTCTCTATTACAACATCTATACAAAGAATTAAGTAGCTACTGATTATCGTATTATAAGCCCTCATTTTGTTTTTATTTCGTTTTGTATTTTTCTGAAATTTCTGGGACACGATGCCGAAGGTCAAATCGGTCGCTGTTAAGTGGTCTACAAGGTCGAGGGCAAATATGCCCAAGCGGACACAGTCCATCCCCGAAAGTGTCGAGATACAAGTAGGATCCCAGCCATTACATTTACAGACGACGCAAGTGTTGACTCTGCCCCAGACAGTACAGCCCACTCAGATTGCCCCCCATGAGTTGCAAGTCCCGACTATCTCAGAGGTATCACCAGGTATTACCTTCACAACCCACTGAGACAAGCAATACTCATAATGCAGGTAATTCAACCCAGTCTACATTGTTGAATTTATCTTGTATTAATTCATTTGAGGCACCTATGCCCCGAGCAGTTTGGTCTGCACAGTTTTCCCTTGGCTACTATGTCGAGGCCAGTATCAGGCAAAAAATAATTTCTGGTAGATTTGTTTTGGCGACACTACTGGTAAGAGACCCAAATAAAACTCAGGTTTCCTCCATCCTAGCAATAGACCCTAATGGGCAATTAATTGCACAACCCAAACAAATGTATAAAATTCATACAATCGATCGCTGGACAGATGCATTTATTATTTATATGAACGTTTATACAGCTGCTCACCCCGAGAAAGTTCAGCAATTTCTTAAATATAAGCATGACATTAGGCTAGGTGCACAGAGATCACAGGCTGGTTCACTTATGACGAGCAATATCGTCTTAGGGCATCGATCAATACGACTCAGGATAGGGGTCTACTCTTGCATTTCGTAATGTTTAATTTTCATGACAATCTTAGTTTTTATTAACTGATGTGAATAGCTCATGCCATACTGTGCGCACTCTTCTACATTATGTCGATTCACTATTACGTTATGCGAATACGGGTATCCTCGGCCTTTATATGAGCATAATGTATTTTCTGCATTCCGCAAGCACTAAAAATGGCGGGAGAGAAAACTGTCGTAGAAGAGATTCTCAGCGATTTCGGAATGACATTTTAAGTGAAAATTTTAAGCGACAAATGATTGACAATCTTGAAACATGCAAAGCCTTAACACTGCGACTGTGAATTAAAGTCACGTCGAAATTCAATTTTGTTTATTTTAATCTGATAATTAAATAAATCAAATATTATGAGTCGTGCAGCAATCATTTTTTTTCTTTTTATTTTGAATTATTTTCTTTTTTTATAAAAGTCTTAAACTTTGTAGGACATTGCATTAGTTTCACATTAAGTTTAGCTGAATTAAGTTGAAAACTTTTTTCTGTAAAACTATAAAGCGTGAGAGCTTCTCCGCTTTCCGTCCTTGGTCTCCAACCATATACCGTCCCCCTTCCTTGTTCAAGATTCCCATATCTGCCACTGATTTGTGCCCATGCATGCTTACTAAGGCATATTCAATTGATTTAGATGAGCGACTGGTAGATTTTTGTAATAGAATTCTGGCCCTGGAATGATTAAAAAAATTACTAGCTCCAGTGACGTAGCATCTTTTTTTTGAAAGAGGAGGTCAGCCAGAAAAAAAAAATCATTTACCCCAAAAAAACTTGACAAGCCAAGAAAAAAATGTCCAAGCCCGAAAATCCTATTTCGGGGAGAGGGGTCCAACTTCGATCAGTCCTATTTTTTTCCAGATACATGTATATTACATTACCCTTAGTGGACTATACTTCAACAAGAAATGGGGGTGGGGTGGGGGGGGGGGGTGGGGGGCTGTACAGTTTCAATGAACATTACATTTTCTGTAGTAAAGTTATGTCTGGGAAAAGAGGGGGGTTGATATTATGTGACTGTAATTTGTCCTAATCAATCAGGACCCCCCCTTTTCTTATACCAGTCATTAAAACACGGTCGTCAGCATTCATTATATACTAGATATACAGCTTTGAGATAATGTAAATGTATTTTAACATCAGGTAATGAACATTTGGAATCAACATGATAAAGAGTTAACACAATATAAAGATATTTTTAAATTACATAAGAAAGAGTTGACATAACGTAATTATATATCCACATCACGGGAATGGAGTTTTGACATAATGTAACAAAGTGTTGATATAATATAAAGATATGTTCACATTATGTTATACACTTTTTACACCACATAATAAAGCACTGACATAAAGGTAAGATGTGTTCACCTCACATCATGATGCCCTCGCCGTAAAATAAAGATAAATCCATTTCACATAATAATGCTTTGATATAATAGAAATATACACTCTCAAACAGGAATGGGCTTTTGACTTCATGTAATGATAAGTTTAATTATAAAACACAATTTACTTGACGTAATGCAATTCTGACCTCACATATTAAAGAAATGAAATGATGTAAAGAAACATTCATTTCACGTAATAACGTTTTAATACAATATAAAACATTATCACTTCACACAATGAATTTTTTACTTCAAGTTATGAATTGCTGACATAGTGAAAGGATGTATTTACTTCCTGTAATGCAGCATTGACATGATGTTAAGATATATTTACATCATCTCATAAAAAATGGACATAACGTAAAGATATGTTCACATCATGTAATGATAAATTGACGTAATAAATGCATAGTTGTATGCTATAAGGCAGTGATGGCGTTCCATACTTTCCCAGCAAAATTCAATAGATATGGCAAACAACTGTGGTCCATGGGAAATACCTCAATTATAACTAATGCACTTTCAAATGATCCCTATGAATATCCGGATAAGCAATCTGCAACAATGCTAGATATTGGTTTTAAACAAGGTTTTAAGTTGTTGTAAAGAGGGCCCAGAACTCCATTAAAGAACTTGGTGTCCGCTAATGAACCTGGGGGTATTTTAGAGGATATGATACTTAAGGAAGTGCGCGAGGGTCGAATGGTGGGTCTATTTCTAGATCCCCCATTGCCAAATCTTCATTCGGTGTTGTACCTAAAAGCGACGGCGGTTGGCGTATGATTACGCATTTATCTTACTCACCGTCGTCCAGCATTAACTCAGTTTCAGTTTCAGTTTCTTTATTTCTTTAAGCCAACTGGCCCATCAGAGTTATACAACAAACATGATAATAACAAAAAGAAAAAAACATACAGAGAGAGTGAACGTAAAGAACACATACATGGGAATAATTCTATACATCAATTTTATTTTTTCTTAACATTGTTGCTGCGTTCAAAAATTTGCCCAAATTTACGAGATCTTTAATATTATGAGAACTTAACAGCTGAATTAATTTAAAGACACTAGGCCTAGTATAATAATACTTTTTCAAAAATTTCTTTCTTATATCAATATACAATGGACATTTCAAAATAAAATGAAATTCATCTTCTATATCATGGAGATTACAACATGCACATAATCTATTATTTTTAGGTACGTTATGGTGTCGACCTGTTTCAATATTCAACGTGTGATTAGATAACCTGAATTTTGTTAATAGCTGTCTTAATTTTTTGTCAATAGGTTTTGTTAAATACCATTGCAAACAGAAATTGTCAATTAAATGTACATACACCCTAGCGATTCAACTGTTAAATACACATCTTTTGACACAGTAGTGCAGACAATTAGCAATTTGGAAAAGGGGGCCCTAATAGCAAAAGCAGACATCAAAAGCGCATTTCGCCTAATACCCGTGCATCCAGGGGATCATGAATTATTGGGCCTGTTTTTTTAGGGGAGCTTATTATATTTACAAAATGTTGCCCTTCGGTTGCTCAATATCATGTAAAATTTTTGAAACATTTTCATTGTTCCTGGAATGGCTGGTTAGGAAACAATCGGGATTAAACATGACACACCATTATTTAGACGACTTTATTTTTGCGGGAAGGGTAGGCACTAGTCAATGTCTGATTCAGCTAAACACTTTCCAAAGTCTGTGTACGGAAATGGGCGTTCCTCTTAATCAAGATAAAGCACAGGGGCCCATCTACCTCAGGGTCCCCACGCAACACATTTAAGTGCAAATAGTCAAGTGACATGGGGCACTTCAAAACACATCATAGCATTTTGATTCTGATGATCTGATGCACCAGAGTAAATTGGCGATGCATGGGTAGTGATATATTTGATATTTAGCGGGTTTTATGCATGCAACAAGTTGAGTGGACCCATCAAGCAAAAAAAATGTTAAAAAGTTAAATGGCTTAAGACGTTCGTTTGTGAAATAAATATAAATGAAAAATTGTAGTACTTTTCCGTGCTATATTTTACGAATATTCCCATAACCTATATACATGTAACCGATTGATTCTTATCGAGTTTATCTAGTTAATCTAGTATATAGGCCAAATTCTATCAAAATTAAGTATTATTTGCCTGATGAAAGGAAAAAAAAAAACATTTTGAATAAGTATAAAGAGGCATTTTTTTCTTTTTCATGAGTTGAATTAAAGTTGCATTTTATAAGTTTTTCGTGCACCTGTATTAAAATACCATTCAAAAAACAAATAAAACAATATAATCTTCAAAAGAATGGACATTTCGGTTCAACCATTAATCTTTAAACTTTCAACAGACGTTTTTTTTAATCTTTCTCTTCAAACAGAACATTATTGTATGCGTGCACACCCAATTATTTTCCTTGAAACTAAATATATTTTCCGCACTCCTTTTCAATAAAGTAATTCGAAAATGGACCGTCACAAATTGGCACTTAAAAAAAGTTACGAAGTCACCCTTAGTGGCATTGTTAATATCACCTGTGTAACCATTTATAGCAGTCCTTAAACTAGAGCTGTTCTTTCTATAAAGTCCAAAATGCCTTTGTAAGTTCATTTCACATTAAAATAACAGAAACAGGAGGATATATAAATGATGAAATTAATCACAGCAAAATCCTTCCCTGGTTTCAATGAATCACTATGGACCTACAAAAAAAAAAGAAAGAAAAAATATCTGATTAAAAAATTTGATTGAACTCGAAAATTGACAGAGAGGTCTTTTCTGATGGCTGAAGTTGGACGTCAAGATATTCCTGAAGGCAAATATACCAGGATTGTCCACATGATTGTAGACTAGCGCCATTAAAATAAAGGGACAAAGACACAGATTTGAAGTTAAGATTTTCTTAAAATTTCTGAATAATATCATGACTTTCACACGGAAGTAAAATAAAAATGTGCCCAAAACTAAGTTTAGCTGAAAGTTTTTGAAACTACGAATTTTGGGACGCGTTTGATTGACACGTCCTTGCACTTTCACAAAGTAGACTGTATCCTTTTTGAAAGAATGGACTACATGTACATAGATTTGATTTTATCACATAAATCCAATTTTTTGAATAAAATTTCGTATGAACAGACAGGCAAACTGTAGGACCCTTGAATTTTTAAGGACAGACAAGACGTTCCCCAATCATATATAACTTTTCCCAAAATTTTGTCCTTCAAGAAATACTACTTTAACATATTTACTCACGAAAAAGCGAGGTCCTTACCAGGCATTCGTGCGAGATACCAAAGGATGGCATTTCTTACATAATCCTTTGGGGAAAAAACTTATTATGCAAAAATCATATTTTTAGTGGTTCTAATTTTTAAAAACAATTTAGAAACCGGTTTAGAAATCAGAAAGTAATTAAAATTTTGTATATTTTTCATACATTATGAAGATATATGAAACAAATATTTGAGGAACATATCGTCTGACCTTAAACTAAAGTTATTCTGTTTTGAATTAAAAAAAAAAAAAGATTACACTGAAAATTACTAGAGCTATCATCATACAAAAAAAGTGTCAGTGATAAAATAAAAATACTTCTGCTCACACAGAAAACTGAAGACAGGCAGAGGCAAATATATAGATAAATACATGTATACTAAATATATAAAAAAGATAAATAGGAAAACAGAAGGACTGAATCAACACACAAACAAATAGTTTATTAAAAAGCTGAGAGAGGTAAGAACACAGGTGAAATATGGCTGCAAGACGAACGGCCAAGGATAAAGAGATAGAGATTTCAAATAGACAGACAAATTAAAAGACATACAGACTGCAATGTAGTTTGGATTATATTCAACTGTTCACTTACATGTTCCTGTCTGTAGTCGCACGTTGTCAATAGCAACGTCACTTCTATATCCCCAACCTCGGATTACCTCCAAGTTTATCTACACAAAATAAAGCATATAAAAATTGTTTTTTATCTCTAAAATGTATCGACTTTACTTCAACACATTTCTGTTCATTGATACCTATACATGTATGTGTTTTTATACAAAGTCAGTAAATGAAAACATACCACAAGATTTGGGGCGGAACTTATTGATATCGCTGCCGATTTCCAGCTCCGGCCCTGGTTACCGGACCGTGACCAAACCCTCGTCAAACTTCCGTTTGACCCTGCATTGACCTCGAACGTCCCCATTCTATTTCCGTACATGTTGTACTGGAATGTTAGACACCATGGGCTCTCCTCTGTAGAGAAAATACAGAACGGTATTTATAATATACCTTGTGAAAATGTTCCGCTAAAAGGTCAAAAATTATCTTTATCTGAATAGATTTGTTTTGGAAACTAATTAGATTTTATCTACTAGGCATGCCAAAACAAAAATAACTTTTCTTATTTGGAGATTTTTGCAAGTATAAAATAAAAGGAAACAAAATAATGATGAAAAATCGGGTAAGTCACACAACTTTTGTAATCAGAAGATTAACAGAGACCTTATGAAAAAAACAATACATTATAAACTTACGTAGCTGTGACCCGGCAGTGGTTAGTATGTAGGTGGTTCCCCAGAACCGGAAGGAAGCCTCGGTATAGGCAAAGATGCCGTCCACGGGGTATTGTGGTCCAGTCTTGTAACTAGGAGTTCGCTGAAAACAAAAATTACATGTGATCCTTTAAACTATTTACATATTTTTTATCACCGTATTTGACTAATCTTTAATAAATATCTGTCTGAAAGTATTCATTTTCGACGTAAAAGAGGAAATGATTTGCTACTATTTTCAATTTCTAGCACTGAGTAAGTAGGAAAGCCCCTTTAATTTGCCACATAACCATTTTAACCCCGGACTTACCGTCCCAAATCTCCAGTCATCTCTGTCATTTGTGGCCTGAGATAGGAAGCTACAGGTATTTCCGGTATTAAAGTCACACATCACTGGCCCGACTTTTAAGAAGAAATTGTCAAGTTTATCATAATTAAATATGTTTTTATTGTACAATGCAATGGCATAAAAACTGAATTAATGAACTAAAATTATGAAAATTATCGATCTTTGTTGATACAGATATAAAATTATGCTGAATTGCAACAAAAATTAAGAATAATAAAGACAAGCCACACATATGAATACTTATGGAAAAGACCTACCTATGACGTCACACGTGTTCCCACCGAACCCGCTAGTACATTGACAAGTAAACCCTGTGGTGGTCTGTGTACATTGTCCGCCATTTTTACATGGATTTGTGCTACAGCCTAAAGGTATAAAAAATAAATTAAAAGGGCTTTGTTACAGAAGAATCACTCCTAGAAGAATTTTGATGGGACAAACTTACCGCAGGAACCCTGGGTAATGCGTACGTCATCAATGGCGATATCACTCTTGTAAGAACCACCCCGAGTTGCTTCGAAAAAGATCTGCAATGAAAAAGAGTTTAAAACTTAATTTTATCTCAATTTTAACTGATTTCTTGTTCGATACAAGTTCCTCTTGCATTGATTATTTCTAGCTACCATGGTAGTTCAGTGGTAGAGTGCCCACTTCGTGATCGGGAGGCCCGGATTAAATTCTAGTTCGCCGCGTCGAGTCAAACCGGAAACATGAACACAGAAAGGGATTTATTTTTAGCCAAGCTCACGACACTAGAAGAGAATCACGGGGCTTGCGGATGAGAATTGAAAAACCGAGGTCCCGTGTCCCGGTAGGCATTGGCATGGGAAACAACCCTCAATGCTTATTATTGGTCCTGGATGTCGAGTTTATGTTTAAATTTGAAACCCTTTACCGGCATATCTACATGTACGTCTCTACATATATAAATAAATCACTTACCACAAGTCCCGTGGCTGTCGGTACGTCTACAGAGGCAGATAGCCACTGGTTTCCTTGGTTACCTTCACGTGACCATAGTAACGTGATTTCATTGTTTATATTGCTGGAGTAGATTTTTAAATCCCCCATTCCGGTGGAAGACCCAAACATATGGTAGTCAAACGTTAGGCACTGGGGATTGCCTACAATAAATGATATATGTAGATTGAGATATATGGTAGTCAAATGACATTGGTGGAAGTCTACAATTATACAACATGTGTAGATACAAACATATGGTAGTCAAAATAATGTTAGACATGTTAGGGGATTTTCTATAATTAATCACATGTGTAGATTGAAACATATAGTAGTCAAATATTACACACTGGGGGCTGCATACAAATATATGACATGTGTAGATTTCAATAAGAAATCTAACTTAATTCTTGTCCTTTTTGTAAATTTAAATGCACACTTTTTTTACGTTCTGTTGATTGAAAGGAAATATTTTTAGCCAGGTTCCAATAACTGAAATACATTCTCACAGTTCAAAATATTGCAATGAATTTTATCATAAATGCTAAGCGTTTAATAAAGGAGTTGCGCAATACTTGATATCGCCATTACTGAACTTAGCAGAACTCTTTCGCGATTGTAGTAGGAAACGTCTGTTGGCTGGGGGCAAATGTGATATTGAATACAATGCAAGATCTATCATTGTAGAATTCATAAGGACATATAAGTAAAAAATCCTCGTAGAATACCTCGCTAAACATTAACTGAACCACCCTAATCAATTTTCGAGAGGAGTCAATCCAAAAATGTTACATTTTTTAAACGATATTTTTAACTAAGCGGACTCTTCTCATTAAAGTTTCATTAAAAACCGTCACAATTTAAAGCTGATAAAATGTTCTACACTTTTCTTTTTTGACAGTCTACCATTTGGAGTTCAATCCTTGGCAATATATTGTACTTTCGGCTTAAAATTGTTCGAATCATTCGATTCTCACTACTGTAAACAATGTCATGTGCCCAAGAGATTTAGAGCTTTCTCGTCTCCTCTGCAAAAGAGCGGTAATAAGTTATATAACTGCGAGGTAATCGCGATATTGCGTATTGACGTCTTGGATTGTAAAGTAGAGCAATTTATGGTTATTGACATACCTTGGAAGTTACTCGATGTCCTTAGCACCGCCCTGTCTCCAGCGACCCTGGGGTTGGATGCCTCTATATACGCATAACGGGTACCCTCGGACGCCGAGGTCGGTCCCGTGTTTCTGGAGGGGGTGGCTCCCTTTTAAAAGAACCACAACAGAATTATTACAGTGTATAATGAACTGATATTTAACACATGAATAATGTCAATTTTGAACTGTGAACTCACCGTTCCTGTGAGCACCCAATCAAAATTGTCCCTGAACAGATCCGGCGCCTGTAGACCAATGGGGGGAGGGATCAGATTACGTAATGTACAACTGGCTCCGTCCTCAAAGCTACACGAAGCTGAAGGGAAACAAATGATATTAAAAAAAAAGAAGGGAAAAAAAACTTCTTCGTATATTGTTGGCTCTTTTGATACGTGTAGTAAATGATCCATAGAATGAACTACCTTTAAATAATAAACATTCTGTGTTTCCGGAAGTGACGTAATTCGACGATTCTTAATAATCTCATCGGTTGCTACTCGTCGATTTAAACGACTTATTTAAAGTCTTCTTTTTTTGCCATGTATATTTTTAGTTTCTACAATACATAGCTTAATTGAAATTTAAATAAAAAAATGGGGGTAAATATGCTTTTTTTAGTACTACAGTACATTTAATATGACCTTTCTGCACTGAAATTTGTGTCTTAATTAAAAATTACATCTTCGACGTTTTCCCTTCAATATTTTTATCCAATTAAAGCATGAAACAAAATGAACTCTAAGTCTGTTTAAAAAAAGAAACTTAAAAATTGTGACTAAGAAAAAGTTTCAAATTGCTTCGCATAATCAATTATTTGACCTTTCTGCACTAATAAAATGTTATTTTTCCGGCATTGAAAATATAACAAGCAAGAAAATTATCTTAAAGTCTTAAACTTTTTCTGATTTTAAGCAAATAGGTCAAAATATCTTAATATTTAGAAAAGAACATCAAAAGTGGGGGTATATGATGTACATTTTCAGATATTAAAAAAAAATTTTACGTTAAAGTTGGCTCAATTTTTTCCCGATTTTCAATATTTACTATATTTGTCACACTTTGTTGATAGAATTCATAAAAAATAATTTAATAGATATTTCAGAACCAGCATAGCATATTTCACTGCAAAAAACAGCTTTGTGTGCAACCAGCATGGAAAAATAGGCATCCAAAATTAACAGTACTGTTATAGTTCAAATGAAAAAAACTGATTATTTTCGTCTAAAAACCCTTCCGCCACAAAATATAGTCTTTAATTCTACTTGAATGGAATTTAATCGTGGTTTTTTCATTGAATATAGTTTAATTTGCATTGTAGAATTCAGTTTTATTGTTAGAACCTAAAAATGATGCTTAATTTTATGAAAAAGGACCTGCGCAAAATACGAAAATATCAGGATCGAACGTCCTTATATATGTGAAATCACTAAATCTCGTGGGGATTTAATTTTCGTGGTATGTAGAAACCCACAAGTTTATGTCCACCATGCAGAAATTACTACACAACGAATCTTCATCCACGAAATTAAATCCTGACGGACCCATATTTTTCCTCAAACCACTCAAATTTTACACAACGAAAATATGTGATTTTAGAGTAAAACAAATTTTCAATACTTTTTTGCTTTTTCGTTGTTCTGTCAAATCTGAAAGTTTCATGAAAATCGACCAAATCGTTTTCGATAAATCACGTGTACAAATGTGAAACGTGTACAAATTCGAAAGAAAAACAGTGACAAAAGAACCTTAGTAAAACAAGAAGGTCTTCCGCTGAAGAGAGAAAACAGACGGAAAACAATAAGGTCTTCGCACGGAAGTCGGAAGACCTTAGTAGCTAGATTGAAATTTTGTTGTTAGGGCAAAAAGCAGTCCTCGGACCAATTTTTCTGCACAATGATGTTACATCTTTCAATAAAATACATTACAGAATTCTATTTTTACCGTTTACGTTCATATACCAAAATCTTTCAACATTATAATCATGATTACTCAAGGTTTTCTACAGAATCTCTTATTAAAAAAAAAGCTTTTAAAAATCGGCAAAAAATGTCCATACATGTGTTAAATGAGAGAAAAGTCGTTTGAAACTGAAAAATAAATAAATAAAAAAAATTTACTGTCCCCAGGGGAAGTTGAACGCCGACAATGTGACAATAATTTGTACGGTTATTACTTTGCAATAAATGCACTCATATAGATATTGAAAACATATTTACAACTCTAACAAGACATCCCAAAAACCCTTTTAATCCTAAAGAAAAAAAATGAAAACCAAAAATAGAAAAGTTGGATATTTTGAATTCTGTTCTGCTTCCGACAGGAAGTAAGAACGACGAAATACTGCCAATCAATGCATCTACATGTGATGCCCTATCATGTCCGTGTGTTTCATTTTCATATCTTTAGCCATTCAGAAGAAAATTCTGCAACAAAATTCCATTAAAAAAATTTAAATTCAAATTTTCCAAAAGATGTGAAAAGAAGTGATTTTGAAAAAAAAATTAAAAACACATCTGTTGCAAGCAACGAGGGGTCTTCCCTAAAAAAAACGAAAAATCTAGAAAAAAGTTATAAAAAAAATTCCGTCCACTGACAGCTTGGAAACACCGATTTTTATACGAAAATCTCGGCCTTTTTTGATTTTAAAACAGATTTATTTTGAAAAAATAATAATAATAACCACCACCATCATCATCGTAGCAAACAGATTGAAAACAATTACTTCTTTTAAAAAATGGAAAAATTCGTTGGAAGACCTTGATTTTTCCAAAAAAAAATAGTGAAAAACAAAATTTCAACAGAGTAATAGAGAAATCGTTTGCACAAAATTTGGACGAAAAACGTTAAAAAAGAAACAATAATAAAAAGAAAAAAACAAAAAGGTCTTTCCAAGAAACTTGGAACACCTTTAGAATCACTTTTGCAAGTAGAGAAAACTATTGTATTTACCAGCAGTAGGTGTTGGAGAAGTTGTTGCTGTGGATGTTGAAGTACTGGTGGGCGTGGTCGTAGTAGTGGGCGTGGTCGTAGTCGTGGGCGTGGTTGTTGATGTTGGCGTTGTTGTTGTCGTAGGTGTGGTTGTAGTGGTAGGCGTGGTCGTAGTGGTGGGCGTGGTTGTTGATGTGGGCGTGGTTGTCATTGTGGGCGTTGTCGTGGTGGTAGGCGTGGTCGTAGTAGTGGGCGTGGTTGTTGATGTTGGCATGGTCGTAGTGGTGGGCGTGTTCGTGGTTGTGGGTGTGGTTGTTGATGTTGGCATGGTCGTAGTGGTGGGCGTGGTCGTGGTTGTGGGCGTGGTCGTAGTTGTGGGTGTGGTCGTAGTGGTGGGCGTGGTCGTGGTTGTGGGCGTGGTCGTGGTTGTGGGCGTGGTCGTAGTGGTGGGCGTGGTCGTGGTTGTGGGCGTGGTCGTGGTTTAAAATTTCATTGGGCGTGGTCGTACTACTATCAGTAAAACCATAAACCAGGTCTCTGGGCGTGGTCGTGGTTGTACTTATAGCAAAGGAAGTGGTCGCAATAATTAGTGGGCGTAAAAAATTAGAATAATGATCCTTAATTAAGTCTCCTTATGTTCTTAGTGTGGTAGTTGCCACATTATATTATGATGCTAAAACTTAAATTTGGAGTAGCATTTTGAAATTTGACAGAAATTTCTATTTTTATATCCAAGTTGTACCTCGAAGTCAAAAACTATATACATAATTGTGAAAACCATAAGTTATATTGAAATCAGACTGTAGAGGCTTGCATTTTCAGCCTGTTTACCCATTTCGGTCTCTCAGTACTTTTTTAGCAAAGGAAGAGACTTTGCCAGAATTTTCACTTTTCAACATTTTTCAATAATTAGAAAAACTGTAATTACAAAAACATGGTAAAAAATTCTTTGACCTTTTATAATACCACAGCGTTTTAAGTCTCTTTATGTTTTTAAGAAATTAAAAAGCGTGAAACTAAGAGACATGCCACATTATATTATGATTTTCATAACAGCAAAACTGTGTTAAATTTCCGTAAAAAATAGCATTTTGAGAGTATTTAACAGAAATTTCTATTTTTAGTAACCAAGGCAACGATGTTCATCGAAGTCAAAAACTGATATACATAATTGTGTATCTGAGTGTAGTCTACTTGTTTGTTAAGTTATATTGAATTCAGTCCAAAACTGTAGGAGACGTAGCATTTTGTAAGAATTTCACAGAAATTTCTATTTTTAGTAACATGGCAACATCATTCATCGAAATCAAAAACCGATAAACAGAATTATGTATCTTAGTGTAGTCTACTTGTGTGCCAAGTTATGATGAAATCAGAACAAAACTGTAGGAGGAGTAGCATTTTGAAAAATTGTTTACAGACAGACAGACAGACAGCTAGACGGACGCATTACTATATCGCATAAGCTCTTCTGGTCTCTGACCAGTAGAGCTAAAGCCGTTTGTTTTTTTCAGATTTTTTAAAAAGAGGCACAATGTGTTTTCAAAGTCATGCCCATTACGTATAATCATTTTATAAAAAGTTGCTGTAATATTTTTTTACTTTCAAGTAGCGATGCATAAACATGCGTTAGATATCATACCACATGTAGCACTAAGCAACTGAACGTTATCCAAAGCAATGTCACTGAGATGCCCGCTGCCTCGTACCCCATCAAAGGACACCTAAAGATATTGAAAAATTTAAATTATCGAAAATGAAATTGAAGAAACAAAAATGAAAATTACAGGTACAAATGCATCAGATATAAATTATCATTATTTTTGGTAAATTTATGTTACTGTTACATCCTCACCCTAACATTGGAGACATTGGGAATTTCCACCTCCGCATAATTCCATTGGTTTCCTTGATCACCAGAGCGTGACCAGGCCAAGGTTCGGGCCCCAGTTCCGCTCTGATAATAAACGTTTAATGTCCCCATATTAGCTCCGTACATAGAATAATAAAACTTCAAACATCGGGAGATGGCTGCAACCGAAAAAAAATAATGTATGAAGAAAGTCTGAAAGCATTAAAATATACAGAAAGGAAAGAAATAATATAAATGACGATAAACGAACTCACCCAATGAAAATGTGACGGCTGATGACGTCAGCGTAGCAATGTCACCCGGCACGCGTGGAGAAGACGTTTCTAGGTAGATATAAGTTGACCCCTCTTGTGCCCCCGGTGGACCAGTGTTATCCGTGGGTGTAGGTCCCTATAATTTAAACATTTAAAATACTGAGTATGTCCATTTCGAGAAAAAAAAATCACTGCTTATCACTAATTTTTAGCAACACCTTTTGTTTCGCGAGATCGTCATTAACTCTTTATTAGCAAAATGAAATTGTATTTGGGTGGTGTTATTCCTTAATATGAAGTGTACAATAAAAAGTTAGAAATCTTGATCTGAATCAGCAGATTACATTGACTAACTTTAAATATAAAGTTAAAAAGCCAGCAGTGGATGCCGCAATATACAAATGTCGCATTACCGATCTGAGGCTCCAATCGTATGCGTTCCCCTCGTTTTGTAGGAAGGGTAATCCAGCCCCGGTCTCAAAAGTTGCCGTCAGGCTGGAAGCTGTTATTCAAAATAATAATTAAAAGTAAATATTAAAGTTCCATTAAATTTACAGAAACAAATGTATTAGGCGACAAAAAGTACTACATTCTTCAGTTTTAAGTATTTTGTGAACAACACTAGAACAATTGGATATAACATTAAATGTGACGTATTTTCGTCTACTAGTATTTTCAGATTTAATTTACAATTGCTGAACCGTTAATTTCTGAATACAATAACAGATGTAACTCACTGTCGGCTATCTGGTCACACCTGGTTCCAGAGAACCCGGTATTACAAACGCAGACTCCATCCGAGCTACGACAGGTTCCAAACATACAGTGAGTATTGAGACAACCTGAAAAATTGTGAAAAATTTAAAGGTAACCGACCGTATACTAGAAATGCTGCCAAATACTCAGGGTTTCTTCAATCTCTACTAGACATTTAGATTTTTGCTTTTCTAGGCATCTCAGAAAAAATTCAGTTCTAGTTTATTTACAACTGTATATGTCTTTGCTACGATAAAAATGATATGATGCGTTGATAATTTACGCTTTTCTTATTCCTAGTAAGTTGCTGGTTTGCTCTGCTTTTGTAACATAAGAGTTGATATTTTGCGCTGGTTTTATAACATTCTAGAGTTGATAGTTTGCGCTGCTTTTTAACAAAGAAGTTAATGGTTTGCGCTTCTTTTGTCACATATGTGTGGATAGTTTGCGCTGGTTTTGTAATATATGAGTTGATAGATTAAGGTGGTTTTGTAACGTATGAGTTGATAGTTTGCGCTGGTTCTTACCTGAGTTGATAGCTCGCGCAGATTTCTTACCTGAGTTGATAGTTTGCGCTGATTTCTTACCTGAGTTGATAGTTTGTGCTGATTTTTACCTGAGTTGATAGCTCGCGCAGATTTCTTACTTGAGTTGATAGTTTGCGCTGATTTCTTACCTGAGTTGATAGTTTGCGCTGATTTTTTACCTGATTTGATAGTTTACGCTAATTTCTTTACTGATTTGATAGTTTGCGCTGATTTCTTACCTGAGTTGATACAATGTAGTTTGCGCTGATTTCTTACCTGATTTGATAGTTTACGCTGATTTCTTACCTGAGTTGATAGTTTGCGCTGATTTCTTACCTGAGTTGAGACTTTGTACTCGGATGGAGAACCCCGCTAATGCCGCCCGGTTGGTCGTCAGACTGTCAAACTTAATGATCATCTGACTTTTGATTTCGTCGTCTGTCGTCACGTAAGCTTCATTGTTTCTGTATCCACATAATCTTTAAAAGAATAAACGGACAAAAAAATTATCAATTTTTCTTTTAGCACCAAGTTGACTTGTGATCGATGAAGGCTTAATCTTAAAGTTATTAATTGACAATTGGACTTTAGCGAAAAGCACTGACTTTTACAGTTGACGGTTTACTTGAATGTTTAAACCTGTGATCATATACAGAGCTACAAAATTTATAATGAATTTATACAGGTAAGAATATCTTCCTAGTGGTCGAATGTATGCTGTTAGGGTCACCAAAATGTGAAGGCTGGGAGTTGAGGGTATGGTGGTTGTCATTTTCGTCAATATATTTATATTGTAAAGGGGCTTCCGTACATTGTCCTAGTGTAAATGTAAGCCGTCAACTGTGAAAGTCAGCGCTCCTCGCAAAAGTTCACTGATATTGAACTCGCCTTAATCTTTATATATTGAGATGAGAATTGGGATATTGACTTTAGCTAAATCTTTATTAAACTGAGTATTAGTCGATATTTTGACCTCGGCTAAATCATACTATATATGTGTAGCTGACTATTGGTCGATATTGACCTTGACTTAATGTTTACTTATCTTTCTACCTTTGGCGAAAATCACTGACTTTTCAACAATGGAAGAATACACGAAAGCTCTTTTGGGTTGTAAACCTTTAGCCTAGCTAATAATGAGGCATTTCAAAGCAAATATTACGTTAGGGGGGTGTCTAGGGAGGATAAGGAGAAACACTCCATCCTAACACCCCCATCCCCCCACCCTCATCCTACCTTGACCAACTCCTACCAAGTTTTCTTTCCAGAATTTTTGGTGTTTGCTTATTTGATTCCTTCAGAAAATGAGATTGAAAGCAAAAAGTACCCCTTACCAATAAGTTATGATTTTCTGCCTCTCATTATCTTTTGTGTTGACTGCATTCTTGTAGGTCATGTTAATGCTCCCAAAACAATTCCTGTGACCACTAGTAAGTTTTTTTTATGTATAATTATTCCGTATATCTCCGTACAAAACCGTATGTTAAGTAGGCCGTAGAGTAAAACGTCAGTGCTCCTCGCAAAAGTCACGTGGTCAATGTTAAATTCGACTAAATCGTTAAGTATTTAGCTGACTATAAGTCGATACTGACCTCGGCCTAATCATTATCTATTTAGCTGACTATAAGTCGATACTGACCTCGGCCTTATCATTATCTATTTAGCTGACTATAAGTCGATAAGGACCTCGGCCTTATCATTATCTATTTAGCTGACTATAAGTCGATACTGACCTTGGCCTTATCATTATCTATTTGGCAGACTATAAGTCGATACTGACCTTGGCCTTATCATTTTCTATTTGCTGACTATAAGTCGATACTCACCTCGGACCCCTCTGTCCTGCCAGGTTATATCGAACCTCCAACCAGTGGTAGCAGTAGGTGTTGATGTAATTCAGCGCCAAAGAATCTATAGACAACTTTATATGGTTTTCTGGTGGACCCTAGACATAAATATCAATGAATAGATGTGGAAACTAAATAAAAATATCACTGAATAAAAATAAATTTTGGTCAATTCAGGTCATTGTATTATCTTTATACACAACCTGTCTTCGATGGGTAAGACAGACTTAGGTACGTCAATTATTTACAACTAAGACTTAAATTCTGTCAACAATAGAGGTCACTTAAGCCAGTTTAAGATAACGTAACGTGGAACTTAAAACAATTCCAAATACTAAAGGCCTTGAGAAATTAATCGAATGAGAAGGGGACGGGTCCGTCATATAGAAGAAATGCAGCCTAACAGGAATATAGAAAAGACGGAGAGATGAAAGCAGTCTACCCACAAGTAGAAAAGTCAATTAATTAAAATGAAATTGATAACATAGAAAAATAACACTGATAACGCAGGCTGGTTGATCTGTTTAAAGTCAAAGTTAGATTGATCTTGACCTTCCTTCAGTATGTATGGTGTAACTAGGCTTACCTTGACTACCCAGATGCACCTCCTCCCCAGGTTGTATGAGTTTGGCCAGCCTGGTGTCGTGATGGTCCGCTCCTCCCCCGAGGCCAGCTCAATAATCCCCCCACACTCTGTTAACACAAGCGTAGGTTACGTTTAATTACATGTAACCATACTTTAGAAGATCATATTTTGCATCCTATGCTTAGTAATCTCTGTTGTCAATACATAAGACTTAATATCAGTTAAACAATTCCTATAAAGAATAAGTTTTTTCTCTCCTCAAGACAATATCAAAATACAGACCTGAGTGAGTGGACACAATTTCACATGAAGTTCCGTACAAGTCAGCCGGGCAGTAACATTGACACGTGTGGAGGAGGAATCCCCCGTTTAAACAGGTGGGCGGATTTACACATTGTTCTATAAATAGAAAATTTGTAATTGTGACGTCAGGCTTACGAATAAATTGTTCATTATTGTGATGTCAGTCTGACCTATGAATAAATTAGTAATCGATTGTGACATCAGTATGACATAAAGGTATACATTGGTAATTGTGAGGTCATTTTGATTTAAGGTACTTTTGTAATTGTGACGTAATTTTGACTTATTAGTTCATTGGTAATCAATTGTGATGTCACTTAGAATTACGAGTACATTAATAATTAATTGTGACATCATTAAAGTGACGACCTTAAAGTTCATCGGTAATTGTGACGTCACTTTGATAAAAGATACTTTTGTAATTGTGACGTAAATTCGTCTTATAAGTACATTAGAAATTAATTGCTACGTTATTTTTTACTTAGGAGTACATTGGTAATTAACTGTGACGTCATTTTAAGTTACGAGTACCTGTGTGATTCAATGTGACGTCATTTTTACTTACAAGTACATTGGTTATTAATTGTAATGCCATTTTACTTACGAGTACATTGGTTATTCATTGTGACGTCATTAGTACATTGTTCATTAATTGTGACGTAACTTTGACTTACAAGTACATTAGTAACTTATTGTGGCGTCACTTTTACTTACGAGTACATTGGTAATTTATTGTTACGTCTTTGGTGTCATAGAACATCAGTCCTACTGCTGTGTCTGCTAAGAACGATAACCGACTATCCTTGACTGTAATTGTAGGATAGCGAGAGTCGACTGCAAACGCCTGAAAATGTAAATGTGATGATACTCAACATGGAGCCGAGAGGAAATTTTCACAAATTTTTATTTTCACATCTCTATGATAATACTTTTTACGAGGTGATTGACTTGATTTTTGGTCTATGGCTTTGCATACCTTCTGAATTTGATTACACTAGCAGCAGTTATACAGTCGTTACGTTTTGCAGTCGTGTCATATTTTGGGCGTAAAAGAGTATCTTATATAAAACATTACGACTGTTTTCTTACATTGAGTCTGTACTGTAGCACGGACGCCAGGTCGTACGGCGTGTTGTCCCGGGTCGGGATTTTGTACATGTTTCGGTTACCAGTGCCGCCGCGGATGTTGGCCCAGTTCATTATGACGTAATCGTCTCTGTCCGTTCGGGACTGCTCGTGTTCCATTCCTATAGCGTGCATTAATTCGTGGATGATAATTGGTATCTGAAAAAGAGAATAAAAAGGCTTCAGCGGATTAAATAATTGCGCATATTTTTAATGCTAAAGAGTTTATTCCGGATTTTCTAACACACTTTGTGCCCCTCGGTAACTCACTTTATCCCAGTAATCTCAACTTACTGTCACACAGCCTGAGTTCTGGAGACTGAGTTGTTGTTGGCCCCACCCTATCATCCCCACGTACGACCAGCAGCCCCTGAATATATATAGCAGTAAAATAAATTTGTAACTTCTACATAAATAAACCAAAAAACAAACCAGAAGTCTCTGTCGAGACTGAAGCTCTACTGGTTTGTACTTATAGCAAAGGAAGAGAAAAGTACTTAAGCAATTGGGAATTGAAACTTTACAACAGCAATGAATAGAATAATGATCCTTGATAAAGTCTCTTTATGTTCTTAATGTAGTCTACTTGTGTGCCAAGTTATATTGAAATAAGACCAAAACTGTAGGAGGAGTAGCATTTTGAAAGAATTTCACAGAAATTTCTATTTTTTAGTAACCACGGCAACATCTTTCATCGAAATCAAAAACCTATATATAGAATTATGTATCTTAGTGCAGTCTACTTGTGTGCCAAGTTATATTGAAATCAGACCAAAACTGTAGGAGGAGTAGCATTTTGAAAGAAATTTCACAGAAATTTCTATTTTTTTGTAACCACAGCAACACCGTTTATCGAAATCAAAAACCGATACACAGAATTATGTATCTTAGTGTAGTCTACTTGTGTGCCAAGTTTCAATGAAATTAGACCAAAACTGAAGAAGGAGTAGCATTTTGAAAAATTGTTTACAGACAGACGGACAGACAGCTAGACAGACAGACGGACGGACGCCGGACGCATTACTATCGCATAAGCTCTTCTGGTCTCTGACCAGTAGAGCTAAAAATAATAATAATAAAACCTGTGTAGCAGCATAAGTAAGAAACACAATCAAAATATGTCTCATGCAATGCATAACAGCTCCTAGGTAGTATATTTCGTACAATACGTGTATATGAAATAGAAAAGGGTAAACATAAAAGAATCTGAGGGGATTAGGCGTCATATGCCCACAAGGATTTTGTCGCTCTGTAACTTGTGTTCACTTTAATAAATGTATTTATTTAAAAACTACTTGATAGAATGGTATGATATTTTCAAATTATTACAACAAACGAGTCTTCTCAACAATTGTAGAAAGAAAATAAAGTATCACCGATGAAAACCAATGTTCCGTGACGAAGCTTAAAAAACAATAAATCTTTACTTTGCGGCACGTGTTTCGTGTAATTAGCATCTTTTTCTGATCATTATCAAATTTGAAAAACTGGTTTCACTAAAAAACACAAAAGATTGGAAAAATGACCATTGAGGTAGAAGGGAGAACCGTTGGAATGTTGATATCTGGACCATCCTTGCACCACGTTTTACTCACTTTTATTTTAGTGTTTAATTGCCCTTGATATTACTTTTAAAAATTAACAACCAGTATCAAAACCCATTAAAACACATTTTTCTATAGCCTGTGCGTCATTTTTCACCGTAAATTCATCACAATTTGAAAGTTTTGGACAAAATCTAACCAAACCGGAAGTGACCTTGATCTTCGTCCTAGGCCAAAATTTCGCGTCACACCAGGTTAAAAGAGTGTTAAATTGTCCTGAAACAATCTTAGAAACATGAAAACAAACAATTTCAATCGTATGAAAATGATAAGAAATCGGTGCTAGTCACAGTATAATATCAGCTCAAGCAGTCTGAAGCATCCTTAAATCGGTGCACTTATGTACTAAACACCCTAGGATATTGACCAAAAGGCATCTGTGTGATGATACACTGTCAAATTCCCGGATATGAATATCATTGAACACATTTGGGATTTTTATAATGAATGTCAAAGTTCCCCCCCCCCCTCCACACAATTTCAACGGTTTGTAAAGATCTATGCAGTAGGTGTGGCAGCAGATGGGTCAATCTCCTATTCAGGGGTACGTGGTAACCTACAGTAAAGATTGTAAAGATTGTCTTGTAGTAATTAGGGTGAGTGGTGGTCTTACTCCATTGAGATTTTTTTGTGTGAATTTTCATTTTGAGGGTACATCATTTCCTTGACACTTTACTTAAAATTCTGACGAGATACGTACATGAAATTTACGCAACATCGAACTTAAATATGCATCATTAACCATGAATTAAAGAAATTATTTATTGTAGCATTTGTTCTTTAAAACTTAAAAAAATGTTAGGTGAACACAAGTTTGGTTCAGTGTATTTTTAAACCTTGCAGTTATCGTTACAGTATTTTTTAATGTGATGCTTTTCATACTTCGTGTTAATTGTTCTATCGAATATGTTTTCAGGGGCTGGGAGATGGTACGCTTTAACGTTCCTTTTAACTGTTTTGCATACAGAACAGCCATATCTTGCTGGTCTACCCATGATTGTTTACATTTCAATCGTGTAATGTAGTCTTGAACTGAATGCATTCAAAATGTTATACATGTATCGTATCTTGAAAACTTGTTTATTATAGGAAATATATTAATTGACCGTAAATAAATTCACCATCTTATCTATTCATTTTATTTTAAATGAAAAAAATATATTTATCTAAATTTCAAGCTGAACTTAAAAAAAATCGTGATTCGAACACTCGCAACAAATAACTTATATGTATAGCAAATTGACGCACAGTTAGACTTGGAGGTTACTGAGAATATGTTCCGAAATTTAAGTAAGTAAACTAACTTTTTTTATATAGAGTGGGTCTTCGTACCATTTTTTTTTTAAATGGTTAGAGATACATCCTTCCATAGCCTTTCAATATTTGTTTTACACAAAAAAATTTTTTACGAAGACCCACTCCTTCTAAAAAAAAAAACAGTTTTAACTTCCATTTCTATCATTTTTACGGTTACTAAAGCGTGTTATCATTTTGGTGGGTTAATTACAAATACTTTTTAACTCATTTGATTCAGGTTTTATCTTTACTGTATGCATATAGTTGTAAATAACTCCCGAATTTAACAAAAAGTGGAATTTGCAAGAATTTTTTAATCGATATATAACCTGCCCTTGTGTTGGCATATGACTCGCCTATTCCTCCCAGATTCTTTGATTTGTTTTCGGACCGAACATAAGAATGGACGCATCGCCAAAATATCTTTAGATTCATTTTTTTAAATTGTGTTTCTTTTTTTCCATCTTTTTTAATATTGATTTTTTGGAGGGGTGGGGGTTGAAGTCATTTTTTCAGTGTGTCGGAACTGCCATGGAGTTACGATATATAGATGTCAGTATCCTCATCATTTAGAGGGAAATCCAAGTATTTATCATTTACACTTACGAAGAGGAGAATATATACAGGTAGTTGGAGTGACCCACGGTGTTAGCCAGACTTGACCCCCGGGGGGTAAACTTAATACAGGTCAAGGCCATAACTTGGTTCATTCCGTTGAGGACCATATCCCGAAACCAGGTACCTAGGAAAACAAAGGAAATAAAAATATTTCAAATAGGTTACACTTATTAAAAAATTCTAAAACGTCGGCAGACTATAATATATTGTGAAATATACATTGCGTTTCTGACAATAATACAAGACATCAATTATTTTGTAGAAAGTGTATTTTGAAGCGGGTTTTTATTTTTCTATCATTTTTACTCAAAGAAGGGGGTATGAGCTAGGATTCTGACTTTTCCTTTACAAAATAAATCTGTTTTTCTTTTAACGTTCATCTATAAATATTAAACATTTTATTTTAGAGGGGGGGGTGCATAAGATTCTTTTCCTTTAACGAGGAATTCATTTCGTTCTATCCTTTTTTCTTTGCAAATTATAAAATCATCATATGCAATTGCAGTTATAACCTACATGAGTATGATCTCCTTCACCCTCTTATAAACTTAAGACAGAAGGCAGATTTACTAGCTATAGGTACAAATCAACTAAAAGTATGTACACCGGAAGCAATATAACCACATGTTTCCGGCGACATGTCACCTTGGCTGGGGTCGATGTAATACGGAACAATTCCGTTCGTCCAGAAGTACTGCTGAGGAAGTATAAAGTTCCGCTTTCGTCTCCTCTTATCTGTCTCATTAGCCTAAAAAAATCTTTAAAATATATACTGGAAGTATGTTATATTTGAAGACTTGTACGTACAATTTTTTTTTCTTTAATAATTTCTGGATTTCCATAGGTTAAAAATGTGATCAGCGCATATCCCTCTATTAGCCATGAAATATTATGAATTCAAAAATTTGATACTGATAGTCATATATTTTATCGTTTAGAAATTTATCACCAATCTCAATATCTTAAGGCTTCCAAAGCACGGGCACTTGTTTCGTATACAGGGCATCCCCTTCTTATTTCTACATAAGTAGGGGTATTGGAATCAGGTGCCTGTGTTCCGGCGTCCTATAAATCCCTGCTGTCGGCCAGACTTACGTATTCGGACTCCAGTCCCCGGATGACCTTCTGGTGGTGGGAGTATCGGTGAGAGTCCAACTCCTCCCCCTGATGATCCTTAGAGAGGGACATATCCACATTGGACTGAAATTATAAATCTCGTTTATCATTAGACACAAGACTAGATTTTTTTTTTTACCGCCCTTTGATTTTCCGTAGAACTGAGAAGAAATGTTCGTTTTGATTTGAACAAATATTATTGGCTGTATTTTTTACAAATGAGATTGGACAAAAGTTCCAAAAATTGAATACACGCCCGTTTCTAAAGATGTGAATTATATCAAAAATGTTTACAGATACTATAGTACATATATATGGCTCATAGTTTTAAAGGAATTAGAACCAAAGTAATCACATCGATGTTTAAATTGCTCATTGATGAATAATTTAAATTTTTTAATCTCGAGGGGAAAAGAGCTTCCCTCCCACTCGGAACATCACTCGGCCTTTTTCGTCAAGTCGAGAAAAAAACGTGACTTGACGGAAAAGGTCGAATGATGTTCCGATTGCTTCCCTCCCCGACCGATATTTGTTTCCCACTGTTTTTAAATCTGATTCTGTAGTTTTCTTACCTGGTATTCTGTTCCATTTATCATAACAAACATTCCCTCTGTTAATCTCGCTAACTCGGAATCCACATCGGTGATCTGAAAAAAGAAATGATAAATCTTTTACCAAAATATATTATTGTATATATATTAATTATATAATTTACATGTACCATATTTTTCTATCAGTAACTGTTGATGAGTTTGAAAAAAAATCTGTTTACGTAAATATTTTACCTAGTAATCATTTGCGATCTCAATGAAAACTAAAGGTACTGTTAGCATGCAATGAGCTCACTAAATGATACCCCCGCCTCCCATATGAATATGATGACAGTATCCATGTTTTGCTGTGGCAAACCCAAAATATGTGTCATATCAAAATGTAAAATAGGAGGTGCACAATGGCAATATGTAACAAAGATTAATTATTAACTTAACAGTTTGACGTGAAATGGTCATTTCTCTCTGCCAGTGTTAAAATGTGTTATTTAACAGTTTTGAATTAAACTGAAATGCCGGATCCAGGATTCTTGAAAGGGGGGGATTTATTGGGAGTCTGGGATGGGGATCTGAGGGCAATGCCCCCGAAAGCTCTCAGGTTTTAAGGGTCTTTCACTGTTTTGAAACAATTTTTGATTGATTTTGCTTATAATGTATGCATAAGAAATACGGTATATCATTGATAATAAAAATTTATTTATTAATCTTATGTATAATTCTGATAGCAAAAATGGTGGGTCGGTCAAAATCCGCAGTTGAAATGCCTGCAGTAGCGTCCCAGATTTATATTTAGAACATACGTAAATATCCAATAATTATAAATAGCATAATTATTAAATAGAGCTGCATGTACTCATTAATACTTCTTATTTCTGGGGAGAACTGCAAACTTCTCCTTACCTTTTCCGAAGATTAAAGGTTAGACGTACCGACTTATCAAAGGTTAAAGGTTACACTAACCGGCTTGTCAAAGGTTAAAGGTTAAACTTACCGGCTTGTCAAAGGGTAAAGGTTACACTAACCGGCTTGTCAAATCTTAGACTTACCGGCTTGTCAAAGGTTAAAGGTTAGACTTACCGGTTTATCAAAAAGGTCCCCCGATCGGATATCGTGTTCTAGATCTCTCTTTCTTCTTTTGTGAGGTCTGGCCTGAGAAAAAGATGTAAAACAATATGAATACGCGTGTCTTATCTGTGAATTTATGTACTGTCGAAAGTGTCATGTTAATTAATACAAAAAATTACACCAGAATATTAAATTTTCTTTGATAAATAGCGTATTTATTAAAAAGTAATTGATCCTAGGGGGCGACTAGTCTATGCTAATAGCATGCAACGGGAAAATGATTTTAGATCAAAAATGAAAAAACAAATTCTACTTGCTATTGATATATTGTACGTTAAGAAAGTGTGAATTAGAGAAAAAAAAAGCTTCAAATAGATGATTTACTACTGATTACTGACTATATTATGTCAATGGATTTGGAATAAAACATGAATTCATAAACCTAATCTATGGAAGATGGATCTATGTATAGACTACTACATGTACGTAGTATTTATTCTTTTATAAAATTGCAAAGTTGACTTCTGTTTATCATTGCATCACCAATATACACTGAGATTCAGAATATAGTTGTTATTCGTTTTGAATTACTGAATGTTGTTGGAAAATCTGTCGTGTTTATTCTGGATACGATGCACCTAACCGACGACAGAAAGGGGGTGGGGGTGGGGGGGGGGGTGTAAGCTACCTTAATATACGTTGGATGAATTCATGTTACAGTGTTAAGAATTAAGTTATGAATTCAAGTTAAAATCAAATACATGGGCTAATTTTGAACTAGTAGCATCATAAATGTCTCTTACATAAGTCAATGACTAGACGTTAAATAATGCTTGTTTTTATTGTGTAAACATCCGTTCTGATCCATTTGATACAAGATATAGGATATTACTATTGAACCATTTACACCGCTGTAACATTTAATCATTAGCTATTCACAAAGTGATAAAATGAACCAAAACATAATAGTACTTTTACTAATGATTTTTTCAGGTTTGATATAATTTTCTTTGAAGATATATAAACTTTTTTTTTAAAATGAACTGTACGATATACCTTAAGTATTCGTTTAAGAATTACATTAAATCCCTGCAGCTATGGGAACGTATAAATTATAATTAAAAATTTACTGCTTAATTATATGAAAATAATACGTCAATGATATAGTTTAAAACAAAATAACACCACCAGATTGAAATAAATCATGAAATCATGAAGGAAGGAAGGAAGAGAGAGAGAGAGAGGATTCGACATCCAGGTTATAAATAGTACTCACTTTATCTTTGTACTTTGCCTCATGTGTCGATTGGGGGGACAGGCCCTCCCTCGCCTTCTGTGTTTTACCATAATACGGGGCGCGGGAGGATTCTGCGTCCAGTATAATTGTCTTTTTGACGCGATCTTTTCCTAAAACAACATCACAATATCATTTTTGACACTTCTAAGATCAATTTAAAGGAAAATAATATAAATGAAAAGGATGCATGAAGTTATTTATTTTTAAATAATAAATATTATTTTGAATGAACGTGACATAAAAATAAATCCGTTAAATTAAGGGAAATCGTAAATTTTTCTGGTGATCAAATATGCAACTGTTTGCCATTTCTTGGAAAATACATCTGAAGCCTACAAAAGACAATATAGGGTTATACCCCCTGTCTCCTAGGATGTAACTAAGAACGATGCCGAAATTCATTATTGAAACACTATTTTTCATTCTCATTACAGAATGATTATCATTTCATGGGCTACACAAAAGTCACAGGAAGATCACAATATATGTCTATTTCCGAATTTCCTCATTTTTTTATGCAAAGAGCCATAGCGCATTTGATAATCACTTTCGTCTACTCTAGTAGTGATTTTGTAAATACATTGTTTAAACAAAATTTTGTCATACTACGGTAGTTTATATATGCCTTAAAGCAAATCACACAAAAATAATATTCAATATTTATGTACGTCCCTCATATGATAGATATAAAAATCGTTCAGTTTATATGGAGAATATAGTAAATACTGAGGTATCCCCCTAAACAATGACGAACTGTAGCAAAAGACCACCCTTAACCAGAAAAACAACTTCTGAATTATTTTATTTGGATATGACTGCACTTCATTACATTTAGATAATTTTGGTTAAAGGTGGTTTTCATATTGAAAATGTTGAAAATATGTATTTAATTTTTCTTCTCATATTATTTTAAGATTCAACAATTTGTCTTAAATTTGTCCATCCGATTACATTGACTTCGTGAAGTATTGGTATTACTGCTTGATTGTAGACATAATGATCGTGAGTTCGAGTCTCACAGTGTGTGTTTCTTATCTATGCTTTTTGTCCCCCGCTTGTAAAGTGGGGGATGTTAATTTGGGTCCATCTGTCCGTCATTCTGTCTGTCTGTAACGCTTTCGTTTCCACACGATATCTCGAGAACCCTTTGAGCTTTTAAATTTTGCATATCAACTCCCTTTGGACTTAAGAAGAAACCAACTGATTTTGAGGTCAAAAGGTCAAAGAACAAGGTCAAGAATTCGTATATTCTGTCTGTTATAACACTTTTGTTTCCGCGCGATATCTCGAGAACCCTGTGAGCTTTTGCAATGAAATTTGATATTAACAACTTCCTGTGGCCTCAGAAAGACCCCTATTTATTTTGAGGTCAAAAGGTCAAAGTTCAAGGTCGTAAATTTATACATGATGCCTGTGTGTAATACTATCTTTTCTGGGCGATATTTCAAGAGGATTTTGAGCTTTTGCAATGTAATTTTATACCAAAACTCCCTAGGACCCCTCTCACCCCTCTCAAAGTGTCCCGACCCATTTGTTTTATCAGTATTTATTATATTAAATGTCGCTATTTTTAGCACTGGGGCATGAGGAGAGTTATTGTGTATAAAACAGGTTCTCGGCGGACTTTATATTCTTATTGCATTAGAACTCTTTAATAAAGGTTAAATTAGACACAATGCATTGTGTAAAATTTTGACAATATCGAACGTGAACATATAAATACTTGTATGTGACTTCATCTTTGCATATAATTTTCCCTGGGTAAAGCAGTTCCGTGGTCTAGTGGTATGTTTTTTGCTTCACGTGTTTGAGGTCCCAGGTTCGAATCCCGGATGATCCATTTTCTTTTTTTTTCGAAATACTTTTTTTTTTACTAAATGATAGTATTCAGCATGTGAAATAAAAAAAATTATGAGGTCTGGCTTGTACAATCATTACAGTGTGATAAATATTCCATACAAAAAAAATCTTCTATACACATAATAAAGAATAAGCAAGCAATCAAATCTTTATATGCATATTGACATACATGTATTTTATTTGCTTCAGTATACATGTATACATTTAATAATTCTACAAATTCAGTCAGGGGGATCCGACTTTTTTCCTAAGGGGGACACAAGTTCCCTGAATTAGCTTGTAGTTTTTTCTCTCTGTGCATTTCTTCTATGTTTTCTTTTATTATTTTATAATACATGTATAAATAATATAAGTGATATATGATACAACATTACACATTGAAAGTATCTCGAAAAAAAAAAAATAAAATAAAATAAAACAGCCCTAAACTATTTTAATGACCCAAAGTCAGAGCTGCTAGCTTGTTTTATTTTTAAAATTTTCTAAAAATCTTGTTTAGAACAAGAGTATTGAACAAGTAAAATGATTGTCATGTAACAAACTTGCAGCTATGAAATTATAATACTGGTCCACAAATGATTACATACATGTAGTTTGATCTTGAATTGAAAAGATACATGTATCTATTAATAGAAACAGGTGATTTCCTTTTAAATACTTGAGTCGGCCGTGTCGTCTGAAAGGCAGCTATGGCTCTTTTCGTCAATCTTAAAAGATATTTTGCTTCAGAAAACAGCTTGCCTATCTACAACTGGTTTTATAACAAACCCCATATAAGGATGTTAACTGCGATCTATCATAATTGTTTCATATCAATAAAGGGACAAATTTGGCTGTTACCTTACCTCGTCCTTTGCACGACATTATGATTTTTATAAAATATGACATTATTACAAATTCTTGCAAAATTTCGGTTTGCTACTTACCCTGGCATATCTATATGAACTTATTTTTTTTAGTTATATTGGTGATTTCTCAAAAATGTATCCTTTATATGCATAAGATATCTCAAAACTTGTTCCTCAGAAATCAGATTCTTTTCTCTTTTGTCGGAAATTTTGTTAAAAAAATCTCTTGAAATTTAAGATGGTTACGAATTCTTCTTTCTCATGTAATATTTATAGATGTGACAAGCATTAATAGAAAAATAGGCCATCCATGGCCCCACGTGACATTACCTACAGGTGTGGCTACTTCCCTAGGTAGTCCATAGAGGGAAACAATCACAGATAAAAGTAAAACTCCTCTCAGAACAAAATCCATGGTTTTTGTTTAATTAAAATCAGTCAGTTTAATTCACAGTATCATATTTATACAATTATAATCACTCATATTGTATCTTGTCATGCGTCACTGATTAAATAAATGGTTCCGTCTCAGAAGATTAAGTCGTTAGGGATACGGGATATATATGTAACACACGCTGTCCTAGTTGTGAACATCTTTATTTTTCGTAATCAATGCGTATTGGAACTTAAAAGGAAATTTGTATATTAATGTAAAAATATTGCATTTAAATACGATTCTTATACAAGTAAAGCTTAATTAGTTGAAGCAAGCAATCTTAGAGTATTGCAAAACAATACTCAGTACATGTCTCTCATTTTTTTTTCTTATAAGATACACGTAGGACCTGAAGTAATCTTAATATCATTTTCAATTCATAGATATACAAAATGAAATAAACTCCAAAGAATTTCTTTTTTTTTTCCTAGAAAAGACACCTATCCTTTTAACGTTCTTTGCTGATTTACATAAATAGTCAATGATCGACATATTGATATTTAAGTGACGTGCATGTAGCATCGTTTTTTGAAAGTGGAGTTGGTGGGGATGGGGGCAGCCAGAGAAAAAAAAAACTGACCTGAAAAATTGGACAAGCAAAAAAAAAAAAAAAAAAAAAAAGAATATTTTTCAAAATTCGAAAATCCTCTTTCATTGGAGGGGGTGGGGGGTGTGTGTTAGAGGCCAACATTTTTCAGTAACAAATTTTCCTCATACAAAATTAGATCGCTCTGATACAGTGTGTATCACTTTACTCTAGCAAAAAGTAATGGTTTGTGGGAGGAGGGTAAACTAGTATGTCAATTAACATTTTCAAAAGTTAAAGTTTTGTTTGGAAAAAAAGGGGGGCAGCCTCACCCCTAGATGTTGATACATGTATGTGCCTGTATTTTATATGTTTGTATTTTTGGGGGTTAAAAATATACTCGATAAAGTGTTTAGCAATATTTAAGATTAAGATACATTGTGGACATTTAAGATTCATGATTCAGGCATGTAAGTTCCTGACCTTTCATAACACTGCGTCATAAGATATGAATATATACATGCTCTTTTTGATAAGAAATGTCTTGAATGATCCGAGTTGCAGTTATAACAGGAGATGAAATAAATAATGTACAGCATGTATAAGTATAATTTACAATAAGTATAATATACATATAAGTATAAAATTTATACATATGAGTTTAAAATACATATAAGTATAAAATCCAATTTTAAATGAAAAACTTAAAATTTTATCTAAAGCGCTTTCATCCAATGCGGGCTCATCGGTGGATTAGAGATTGTGTGTAATATATATAAATATAATACATATAGCATGACATGACGTCAGTACAGCACGGACAGTAACCGCCATGGACTCCCACATAGTATACATTGTACGTCAGAACGTTACACTGGACTTTCATCAAACATGGCGGCATATCCTAAACTTCTCGTCAGTGATCTGTGAAAGTTACCGAACACAAAGCGGATGCAAAGTTTATATTTAACTTAGTATGGCACAAACTGAGCATTTGTAATTATAGTTAGTGTGGAAAACTAAGTGAAACTCACAATACTATAGAGTGTGGTTCGTAGTTCATCTCAAAGGCGTCAGAAGCAAATTGAAAGTTCGGAGGGGGGGGGGGGGCTAATTGAAAGTGGGGGGTGCGGGGCTAGAACCCAAATAAAGGTATTTTAATTTTGAATGCCTATATAATATCTATCTTTGCAAAAAAATTTGGGGGATAAGCCCCTAGCCCTTAGCCCCACCCCACCCAAACACCCACCCACCCCCGGTTCCGTCGCCAATGCCTCTTTTCACTTTTGATTAAGATTCTGATCAATGTAAGGTGTAAAAAGGAGAATCAGAAAATTATAAATTACTTTATTACATGTAATATCAATTTTAAAAAAATATTACAAATATGATTGGAAAGAAATTTTTAAGACCTGTTTCAAAGATTTCTAGTTGAACTGTCCTTTAGGAAGGTTATTGTTTTAATCCAACAAACTGCAATATGGCTATTTTAAAGGAATAAATGAGCTCCATGTTGTGTGTATTTCTTAAGATTCTTTTTCTAAACCTATACCAAGCCGGGTGAATTTCATGAGAACAAACAAAATGACACGAATTCAGCAATATCATATAAGCTAATTTTTACCATTTTGCTTTTTCTGATAAAATTCACCGGGCTTGGTATACTTTTCTAAATTTAATATTACACTTTTACCACCAATTTAAAATATTCTAAAATTTGTTTTCATCTGTAAACCTATACTGAGTGTGTTTTGTCCATATTTGTAATTTTATTGAAATATTAGTAATATTTTCCGAGTCTATTTCATTTTCCAGTTCTTTAAAGAAAAAATTCTAAGAAATATCCACTTTTCTGAACTTGTGGTATGATATTAAGTCTCCTCCAAAGAAAAAAAATGTTTGTATCATCTGTCCTTAAATAAAAACAAAATCAGTACCTTATAAGTGGACAATTGAAAAGATTTGTTTTGGAAAATGGTTAATTTGTATCGTTAAGTGTAATAACGTAATACTGAGATGATATGATTAACAATAACATTATAGATCATTTTTTTAATTTTATATGTACATTATCGAACTACAATCATATACTGTAATTTTTTTTTTAATGTCTTCAGTACATGTATACATATATTCGTTTATAAACTTACATGAAACAGAAATCTGTGTGAGACTTTGTTTAATGTGTACATGAATTCCCATATTTCACTAGATGACCGTATTTTGTCCCAATCTAAACATGTACCTAATGTTATATTTGACATACGATAAACCTGGAGGAGACAACATGTTGTCTCTTGGTTCATATGTCTGTCTTCATGACTGTCTATCATTCTATTCTATTCTATTTTTTGCATGCACTTTACTCTTTGCCTTCAACTTTCTTAATTTTGAAAACAATATACAAATATTTAGAACACACCCTTGGTAATTGGAGACTCCCCGTTGAAGTCTGAATTCGGGGGCTGGTATCAGCTATTTACGAAAAAATTCTTTCTAGATTTACACCTTATGTTGTTATACACCTCATCCAAATTCTCAAAGTGGAGATCATAACGAACCCCAAAGGTCATGAGCAATCCCTACATAAATCATAAACTTCAATGAACGACATTGAAAAGATGGCACGATTCTAAAACACCCCAATGTTTGGTTTGCAGAAGATATAAGCATGTCAAGACAAAGACAAAACAAAGCAGTAAAAAGCAAGGATTCTAAAATTTTTTTTTTATTACAAAGGTAAGACACAACTGTCTTTGTTTGTGAACTCACTTCTCACACGCACATGTAGGTCATTTGTTCCAGTTAAAGGTAATCATTCACTTTTCACACGTAGGTCGCTGTAGGAAGTCCTCAGGATCTGCCGCTAGGTCCTCCACAGTGTACGTACAAGTCAGTACACCGTCAACCCCCTCCATATTTGAGAGAACATTCAGGGAACCTTTTGGATCATTGTAATAAATTTGAACGCTGTCACGAATTCCAAAACTTGGGTCTTTTGGGAAATAGTTGAAAGGCAGAAGGAAGAAGCTGACGTCACCGCCTACAGTTTGCAGAATGGGGAGCTCAGAGGTATGTGGTATGTGCTGGATACCTAAGGTTACCCAAGCAACCAGGTCCTATATAAGGAAAAAATTACATACACTATAAGGTCAAAACAATATGGTTTTGAATGTACTTTAAATCAATTCTCATATCTTGTTATGAATTAATTAAAAAAATACTTTATATTATATACTAAGTAAGTTACACACGTGACTCAAAGGTTAACTTGTTTACTTTATGATCGCGTTATAAGGAGATAATCCTGACACCGATGGTTCGATTCAATAGTGAGGTGTTGAAATTGGTTATTTATTTAAGTCGAGACAAATAAAAGATATATGGGCAATTCCTAAATGCATAAAAAAACCCATTTTGGAATAGATGCGGTAATACGTTACAACTTTATAGGTTGCAAATTAAACGTTACCTCTTGCAAAATTGGTTCATCTCCAATGAAGTTTTCAAAATTGACCACTCTGTCTTCTCCGTCAAAAGAAGCATATTTAGAACTACTATATTGTTCAGATTCTTTTCTCTTTGTGACTGCCAGTTGATATCTCATCCACGATGCTCCTTGTTCGTTCCCTACGCCTTCTTTGAACAGACCTTTTGACACGCCTCACTGGATGAAAAATACAGTTTCCGCATGGCTGAAACTCTACTGAAACTCTGCGGAAACTTAAGGTTACTAATAGTTTCCGCAAAGTTTCAGTGCGGAAACTTCAAGTTTCATAAGTTTTTTGCAGTGCGGAAACCAAAGGTGTCCACGAATCAAATTTAAAGTTAAACTTGCTGAAACTTGAGGTATACGCAAGGTTTCAGTATGCGTATATGGTTGAAATACATATGGTGTACCATAGGTTTCCGCAACTGAAACTTGCTGAAACTTGAGGTTTACGCAAGGTTTCAGTATGCGTATACGGTTGGAATACATATGGTGTACCATAGGTTTCCGCAACTGAAACTTGAGGTTTACGCAAGGTTTCAGTATGCGTATACGGTTGAAATA